TTTAATACTTATCATTTAACGTAATGTTAATTTTTTTTTGTCGAATAGGATTAAAATTCTTTGAACTGACTGTTAATAGTGTCAAAAGTAATCGTATATTACATGTTACAAAAATTACAAATAAGTACATTATCCCCCTCATCAACACTATTACAACCCCTATGGGTCCACCCTTAACATACAATGCAATGAATCCAACCCCCTTTTGATTTAGAATTCCTGTGTACCCCATTACAAAATATACAGGCTTTATTTTCTTCCTCCTCTAAAGTTGAATCGAGCATCCGGTTTTACCCCATATTTAAGTATCCGTTATTCTCCCAACGTGAGATAATTTAATAAATATTGTAAATAAACAAGTGATCGAAACGTCCAAATACTAGAAAACAGCTACCAAAATACAAGTTGCAAAAAAAGCTCAAGTTGTCAATATAATATCAAAACGGTTTTAGAGTAAATTTGTTTAAACTCATTTAATCAAAAAGTGACGCTCACGTCTATTATTTATCTCGAAATAGTGTGGGGGAGGTTTACAACTATTACCAAGTGTTGGATATAAAATTGCAACGTTAGATTATGGAAAAATTGAAGTATCCTGTTTTACCTACATCATAATGGTTATATTAAGGTCGTTGATAGACAACAATGACCAATCTCTCGTGGGTAACAAAGTAAATGTAATCAGCGGGCTTTCACGCGGTATTACGTGACAACGTAATCGTAGTACCAGCTAGAATGAATATTTCATTTCACCCTGGCGGTAAGCGTCACGCTTTCAATCGGCTTCGCCTACCAACTATGAGGACTCGTATCTCGAATCGTGCATCTCCTCGATTACCTCGATACATATGCACGTGTTCCGCGCGACGATTCTTGAGATATTGCGCCAACTGAAAAATTCTCATTTCTTCGCGCGAACCAAACCCAAGTTTACGACTGATTCGTACTATTTCAAACATAATTCCCTCTAATTATACCACCAAAAATGTATTAAAAATATTACCAAATGGATTCGGATTAAAAGAAACAGAGGATCCAACAAGGATGTGTATTTTTCCCAAAATCTGACCCTGAAACAATTAAAACCGTCCAAATATTACTTAACCTTCGTTATCTCGACATACCTCGAATAACAATGATACGCATGTTGCTACGTAACCTTTCCAGTTGTCAACACAATGCAACGGACAAGGTTCAACGACCAAGTATCGAGGTTCTATTGCATATACAGGGTGGTCGGCCACTCCTGGGAAAAATTTTAATTCTAACAGCCAAAATAAGACGAAAATCAAGAAAAAAAATTATTTTTGATTACAGGGCTCAATTATAATCACTTTTGGTCAATAGACATACCCCCGAAATCCTGTCCACTTTCTAGAAAAAAATTCGAGAAGGTGCCTAAATTTTTCGACGAAAAAAAAAAATTTTAAATCGTTCTACAAAAATTATTTTTGGTTGTGGGGGTCAATTACAATCATTTTTGGTCATTACATATATCCCCGAAATCCTAGGCACTTTCGAGAAAAAAATTCCTTTCCGAAACTATAATTAGGTGCCTTTTTTCGACGAAAAAGAAAAATTTCAAATCGTTCTGGAAAAATTATTTTCGGTTGCGGGGGTCAATTACAATCATTTATGGTGAACAGACATACGCTCGAATTCCTGCGCATTTTCGAGAAAAAAATTCGGGTAGGTGCTGAAATTTTTTGGGGAAAAAAAATTTTTCAAATCGTATTAAAAAAATTATTTCTAGGTTCTGGGGTCAAATACAACCATTTTTGGTGAATACACATACCCCCGAAATCCTACGCATTTTCGAGAAAAAAATTCAGAAACGTAGACAAATTTTTCAGCGGGAAAAAAAATTTCAGATCGTTTTGGAAAAATTATTTTCGGTTGCGGGGGTCAATTACAATCATTTTTGGTCATTACACATACCCCCGAAATCCTGTCCATTTTCTAGAAAAAAATTCGAGAAGGTGCCGTTGCTTTCTCGAGGCACATTAAATGCAAAAATATAAATTATATTTCAATTGACAGTAATTTAACTTTTACTAGGCTATATTAGATACTTTTGCCCTATACGAAACTATTATTTTCAAAATTTTTATCTTAATAATCGATATTAAAAAATCAGTCCACCTCTCATAACCTAAAACTTGATCGTTCAGTTTCTTATCTTTCATTTATTGTATTCATAATAACGGATTTTTCTTTAAATAGTTGAAATCAACATTTTTAAAATTAAAATATTATAAATTGAAATTACGTGCATTTGCTCTTTTGTTAAAAAAAAATTTTAATGTAGAAATGCATTCGTTTAAATTGTTTTATATGGGATGTCTGGTTAACCTAATTTGGAACATTCTAGGCGGTGGCGAAACAAATTGCGGTTTTACTTACATTTTTAAATCGTGATCGTCACGGTATTAAATCTACCTTTCGCAAAAGGTTGACAGTGTCGACTTTTACGTAACGATCGTAGGAAGAATCATGGTTGAACAAAGAGTACATGCCTGAAACTTGTTAAAAATGCATCCTCGCGTGTCGGTTCCCCGACAATTTTTACAATTCGTGTGCTCTTTGTCACGAAACGTACGAAAGCCCCGACATACGCTGATTTTTAAATAACATCCGTCACGTGGTACTTTCAGGGAATTGGTTTAATCGTCGAATCTTATCGCAAGGATCGGTAAAACGTAAACCACTCTCATAAAAACAAAGCATGGATTCAGGTTACGAACGTTAATCTTCTAAAATAACATCTAACGTTAAACGTTTAATTCACCCTTTTTCGTTAAAATAATCGAAAACTCTATGCCACGTATAGTTACATAAATTGATAAAACAGATCGTTACATGCTGGTTCAGAAGCTTATTCGTCATCGATTATTTTCTGTTTCTTGAAAAAGATAAATTTCACTAAATCCAATTGGAACACGTCAGAATTATACCGTGGTGAGGTTGGATCAGGATTTGGAATCGGTAATTAAATTACAAATCACTTTAACGACAAATAACCAAAAATATATTTCTAGAAATGTACATTTCTCACGGAAGATTACATTTTTTCACATATTAAAATAAATTTTTACAAACGCTTAACGAAGAAGTTATTTTCGATTTGCTAACATTTCTTTCGATAAAATGAATCATATTTTAGTGAATTGTACATACTCGTGTATTTTAGTAAACGATTAAACATGTATGTAAAGAACGCATATTAATGCATCAAATTATTTTTTCCCAAATTGTTTACTTAAAAATTATATAATTGAAAATTCTAGTATTTTATTTCATATAAAATAATTGCACAACATAAATGGTATTACTAACCGCGGGTACACGAGTATGTAAAATACACGCTGAAATCTGTGATCTCTAATTACTCATGTCCATGCAGTTATCACCATTGTTGGGCGATAGTAAAATGTGTTCGAGGTTTGAAAATAAAAAGATGCACCTTTTCATGTAACAGTGAAACTTTAATTATATAAAAACATTTAAGTAGTACATCGAAAGTCCGCACTCGTTTAAAGTCTAACCTCTGATCTGGACCAACTCTCAACCGCCACTTTCTTCTCGCCTTCACCCCATTCGTACCAACTTATAACTAGTTCCTAACCTAAATAACGAATATATCCCTATGTATACGGTAAAAGTAATCTTCGACGCATAAAATAGATAACGATTCCCGCAACCGTGAATAATTTGCGAAAATCGATCGCCGTTGAGTGGTTCATTAAATTATTTTAAGTAATTTGACGATCGTTATCGGCAGAAACATTAAATAAGACACTGCTCGCCGCTTCGGTAGATAGCTGCGTTTAGACTATAGATTCATACGTCGAGCAAACCTACGTCGGTCACAACACATCGACTGAATTGTGGTCATCGTTGCATAACTGAGTGGGCTATTCGCGATGATTGGATAGTTCGTTTTTCCACTCATGTTCATCGTGTCCTTTGTCATCTGAAGTGAATCAACTTTATTACACACCTTCATCGACGAACAGTATGAACACATAACAGTATATGGTGTCTAAGTGAATTATTTTTAGACCTATCGAAAATACAAGCAACATAATTCGTACAAAAGTTGCTTAACATTTACGTGTGTAAATAAATATGATAGTCAATTTTTTTGTGACTATTACCTGCTAAAACCTGTCAATGTAAACTTTGATTTTTTAAATTCTTGCAAGATACGAGTATTTTTTGTACAGTTATTTGTCTGCCCCATGCTCGTAACAACTAACGATGCATTATTATAAATCGCAATTATTACATATAGGGTGTTCGGCCACTTCTGGGAAAAATTTGAATGGAAGATTCTATAGGCCAAAATAAGATGAAAACCAAGAATATCAATTTGTTGATGGAAGTTTACTTAAAAAGTTATTAACGTTTAAAGTTCCATCCATACTGAATTTTTTTTCTCGAAAATGCGCAGGATTTCGGGGGTATGTCTGTTCACCAAAAATGATTGTAATTGACCCCCGCAACCGAAAATAATTTTTCCAAAAAGATTTGGAATTTTTTTTTCGCCGAAAAATTTGTCTACCTTTCTGAATTTTTCCTCGAAACTGCGTAGGATTTTGAGGGTATGTGTATTCACCAAAAATGGTTGTATTTGACCCCAGAACGTAGAAATAATTTTTTTAGAACGATTTGAAAAATTTTGTTTCCCCAAAAAATTTCAGCACCTACACGAATTTTTTTCTCGAAAATGCACAGGATTTCGAGGATATGTCTATTCACCAAAAATGATTGTAATTGGCCCTCGCAACCGAAAATAATTTTTTTAGAATGATTTGAAATTTTTGAATTTAATTGTTAATAACTATTTAACGAAGCCTCAATCAACAAATTGGTATTCTTGATTTTTGTCTTATTTTGACCTCTAGAATCTCCCATTAAAATTTTTCCTAGGGGTGGCTGATCACCCTGTATAAATCCAACGATCGAGTTATCAAAGTTTCGGTACGACTTGATTTTAGGAACGAGAAGCTGAAAAAATAGCAGAGGAAGCGGCAGCTATGCGTGACGTGAAACTGGAACTTCAACCCACGAGAATTCCTGAGAATTGGCAAGGAAACAATTTTCATCGGTATCTGGATACAATAAATGGTAAGTATCTAACAGTTGAAGGAATTATGATCGATAAAAAATAGTGCATTATATGGTGAAACCGTACCATTGTAACGAATCATATATGAAATTCTAGGTATCTCGATGAATTATTAAGAAACACTTTAGAAATTAATTTTATTTAATATAAATAAAAACTCTATTTTTTAGAAGTATAAAAATTTTGATTTTTATTAATGAATAAGAAAACAAATCTATCTTCTATCTAACTAACAATGATAAATTGTTCAGACTTCAAAGTTACTAACTATATTCAACTTTACAATGATTGATTCCAAACGTTAGCTTTTATCTCTCTAATGAAATTTATTTTCAGTATTATCAATAATTTATTTTTTGATCAAATAATCAGGACTTGTGGAAGTAAATAAAAAACGTGTTTAATAACTAATTATTAATTCTTTTCAGTAAAAATAATATACAAATTCTGTAATTTATTTTATAATATGATTTATTTGACTGCACAATTGCACGAATCACCTTGTTGTAACTGATGCTGTTATAGACATTATGTAAGGAAAAAACTAATCAGTATAAAGAGATGCCAAGCAAAAGACAAGTAAGAGAGAGAAACGAATTTTTTTCCACGACGTTCGCGTTAGTCAAAATGTTTTCACTCATAGTCAATGATCCCATGTTCACATTCACCAGCAAGGAACCACAACTTCCTCGTTATTTTCGGCTTATGGCTGTTTTAATGGTTTGACTGACGTTCCTAGTATATGTACTCACAAAGCCAACTATACGTACATGTAATATTCAATATGCATTTTTCCATTGGTTAATCCTAAACTCTTAATTAGAGATTTCTTCATACTTACATGTTATTAGCGACGTTTGAAAAGAAAAAGTAGAAAAAGGAAGAAATGAAACGAACGTGAATACTATAATTACTCGGGTAAAGATAGAATTTTAACACAAAATTAAAGAAATTAAATCATCACTGTTAGCGTTTATATTTATTCGATTCGAATGAAATAAAAACTGCTGGCTGAGCACAATGAACACAAGTCAAGAAATACAAGAATAAAAGAATACAAATTTCAAAATACTACTAAAGAAATATAAATTTTAATACTAACCATCATTTTTACTAAATTAGCCAATTTTAATATACGATACTTGTAAATATCAACAAACTTATTTCCACGAAAAACAGTTGCAAATATCACATTGAAAATATAATTTTTTGTATTAAAAATATACACTATTTGTATGGTGTTCCGCTACCCATAGGAAAAATTTTAATGACGGATTCTAGAGGCCAAAATAAGACGAAAATCAAGAATACTAATTTGTTGACGAACGCTTCCTTAAAAAGTTATTAACAATTAAATTTAAAACTTTCAAATCGTTCTGGAAAAATTATTTTCGGTTGCGAGGGTCAATTACAATTACTTTTGGTGAATACACATGCCCCCGAAATCCTATCCACTTTCGAGAAAAAAATTCGAGAAGGTGTGAAATTTTTCGACGGAAAAAAAAAATTTCAAATCGTTCTGGAAAAATTATTTTCGATTGCGGGGGTTAATTACAATCATTTTTGGTGAATAGACATACCCTCGAAATCCTACTCATTTTCTAGAAAAAAATTCGAGAAGATATGAAATTTTACGACGTAAAAAAAAAATTTCAAATCGTTCTAAAAAAATTATTTTCGGTTGCGGGGGTTAATTACAATAATTTTTGGTGAATAGACATACCCTCGAAATCCTGTGCATTTTCGAGAAAAAAAATTCAGTAAGGGCGGAACTTTAAATATTAATAACTTTTTAACAAAGCCTCCATCAACAAATTGGTATTCTTGATTTTCGTCTTATTTTGGCCTCCTGAATCACCCCTTAAAATTTTTCCCATGGTTGACCTAACACTCTGTATAGTGTATTCAACGTTTGAACTTTTGCAATTAAATTATATTCTCTCGCGCACCTAATCAATAAAAAAAACGAAGTCATTGTTTTCAAAAATTTTCAAAAATTTTCACGTTATAAATTTATAAAGCTGGGTGTTTATGGTTGTAGTTACCGTGGTCCGTATGGATTATTGGGTTTTAATTTTCGGCCCGGTATAAAAAAAAGTCTGGTTATCACTGGGTTGGACCATCCTCGAATTCCGGTGAATAGGAACGCGCAAGCGTCGGTGAAATCACGCCTCCTCGCAAAGAGGAGTTCACCCGCAACCCCTTTTCGCGTTATTACGAGCTCTAAGACCCACCCTCGTCTGATATCAAGGCAACCCTCCGTTTCCAGTTAACACTCCAGTCGCGATTAATTACTCTAATTAATTGAAACTCCGATCTTCCACTGAACCACTCGTACCGCTCTAATTACTAATTACTAATATTAGAGCGCCACAGTCCGAAATACCCTGGGATTATGCACTAACTTAGCAACGTTTACTATTTCCATTCTGCTACGAATGATAATTATTTCCGTGAATTTTCTACGCTCATTAAAATCAGATGTTTCAGATCTGTTCGTATCGCTGTTTTTTTCCAAATCTTTCCTTTAGAAACAGACTTAGGCAATCTGAGTGATTTACACAAGTATAAACGCCCAATAAAGATCCCTTAACACGGTTAACGAAATTTCTATAAGACCACGATTTACTGATCATTGATTTATTGTATAAACTTATGTTAGTTATTGTTTGGAAACCTTACATAGATAGACGTAGGCGTTTTCAAAGTATTTCAAGGTTATCTTGTGTTTTGAATCGAAAATTTATGTTTTTTATTCCGGAATTATATTCTGCGTTAAAAAATGGACATGTTTTGTTTGAAACGTTTCTCAGCAAGTTCAACATTTATAAAGATATTTAAATGATTTTTCGAGGTTATTTTAAGGTTAATTTTATTTTTCTATTAGAGCGACAAGGTTATTTCTTCTATTCAGAGTTATTTCTATTTCTCCCGAATGTCTAGTAAAAATATTAGTGATATAAGAACGAATATTTGATGTAAAAAAAAGTAAATTATTGTTAAGAATATGAATTTTCAAATAATTATTTTTCAGGGAAATATACAATGTTAAATTTAAATATTAACTAAATTAAAAAAAAAGCACATTCAGTTTGTGCAATTTTTAATGAATATCTCCCTTCATAAATATTCCATAGCGAAGCAAAAAATTAGATACACTTTTTTATTTTTCCTCACCGACATAACCTCTCCACGTCAACTCGAACTGTATTAATAATTACCAAAGCATACAAATGCTTGAATTTGGTCCTTTGACTCGATGAAATTTCTATTAAATTATGTTACATGGTAAAAATACACTTTTTATTTTTCCTCACCGACATAACCTCTCCACGTCAACTCGAACTGTATTAATAATTACCAAAGCATACAAATGCTTGAATTTGGTCCTTTGACTCGATGAAATTTCTATTAAATTATGTTTCATGGTAAAAATATTTTCTTTTCATTTTTTCTCACTGACATAACCTCTCCACATCAACTCGAACTGTATTAATAATTACCAAAGCATAGAAATGTTTGAACTTGGTCGTTCGACTCGATGAAATTTCTATTAAATTATTTTTCATGGTAAAAATATTATCATACCGAATGCAGAGTATATTTTTGTCTCGTTTGTGATGCTTGAGGGAAACGGTGATTCCCGTAATTGTTTCGAAACAGTCCGTTTATCTCGAGCAAACCGATAGCGTCGGTTGGCATTCGTGGATCGATCTATCCTTTAATCGTCATTGATCGAATACATCGTTCGCGACTAACTTTTCAATTTTGTTTGGCTTCCTCTGAGGCCGGGGTTCATTACTCGTCCAATTTAAATGAATAAATGAAACGGTTTTTCGATTTTGTTTGTTTCCTTTGATTTTCCAGAGGGGCGTGGAATTTTGTTAATTTTTAACAACGATGATTGCAGGAAACGAGCCGACGGAGAGAACGGGCTCGGATTGTTCGGCCTGCCGTCCACGAGGTATATTTTACAGGCAGATCCATAGCCCGTCTGCGTCCGCTAATTAATCGCCACCGGTGCGGTGACAAGAGACAGGAACAGCGGGAAAAAGGACGGAAGATTGAGAAAATTCATGGTGAGAGTGACAGACAGAGAGAGTTATTCAAAAAGATATTGTAAATTAGGGGTCTCCGTCTCTATTCATGGTGATTCACGTTACGTTTATTTATTTTTTACCCCAAACGCTTACAATCGTTTCGTTATATTTTTAGGTTAGGATGTATATTTTTCAAGCGATGAGTCCTCCGTTTTCATCTTCAGTAGGCTGGTGGCTCGATCGAAGGGTGATTGAAATTTTTCTACCTAATTATTTCACGTAAATTTGTTATTCTGTTGCGTAAATAAAATAAAATTATTTTAGGGCTTTGCACGGTAGGTAAAACAGAGTTCTACTATTGTCACGAATAGTTTCTTGGTTTTATCTTCGATTAAATATATTAAAAATTGACAAACCTAATACGTAGGAAACGAAAGGGTATATTTTTATTTCCGTTCGGTGAATGAACTTTTTTTTAATTTTTAAAAATCATCAGTACAATTTTGATAATACGATTGAACATTCTCTGTATCGTAGTAAGTTTCATCACTGTGCATCGTTGATCATCGTGTATAAAAGTATCGGGGTACCCCTATTGTAAAGGACGGTTTTATATAATCTTCCTGTCTTTCGAATTCTGATTTCTGTGCTTCTGCATTTACGTGTTCGTATATTGAGAAATAATAATCGATTTAAATAAAGGGAAGGCAGTAATGGGAACGACTGGAATCGAGTACTGTCAGCATTCGAATACGATACGTAGAAACGATTAAAATGTATACATATATTTATCTAGAATGTTAGAACTCCTGTTTTCATTCTTCACATTTATACAATGCACAAAGAAATCGATCGTGATTTTTATATTGTATTATTGTAGTTGCGTGTACGTAAATTAATTCTGAAATTAATGCGATATCATTACATAGAGAATGTAAACGAGAAGTACCGTGATTCGCGATATTTTTTTGTGCTGTAGATTGTATGTACAAAACAGTTATTCACAGAAACGTTGCTGAAAAAATATAAATGTTCGTGTAATTAAATTTTCACGCGATCAGGCGTGTGGCGTTGTCTCCCATGCTCGCCACCAGAGGGATCAGCGAGCGCTTGTGAGAACGCGATCCCTCTGGTGGCGAGCGTGAGAGGCGACGCCACAGGCGTATCGAAATTAACGAATTTCGCGTGACGCTCAGTATTTGTATTTAAAGTATGTTGATAAAATACTTAAAAAAAATTATCATCAGTTCTCTTTGACCATGCAAGTAGACATAATCACATTACATTTCACGTGTACATGGAATTATACCGTATTATATACCGTATTATAACGAAGCTTAAGAAGAATTTAACATACTTAAGCGTGTAAATGGCGAACAGTACAGGTAGAAACAAATTTCCAATACTTAAGTGATACTTATATTTATCCCTAGAATAAACATGAATTTTATTATCCCGAGAACGGATAAAAATGTTATCGAATGAATCTCCCGATTCGCAGGAATACGAAAATCTTTCAACATCAAAGATTTCCTGTTCACGCTCGTTTTAAATTTATTGTAAATATGGATTAATTAATTTTTAATCCGAAGGTTCATTTATTTGTTAGTTCTTAGTACAAATGAAATTTCAGAGATCTGTTTGCACCTGTTCGTTTCTACGTAATTTACGGTGACGAGCAAAATTGTAAACAATATATAAATACTAAAGTAATTCTAATATATAATAAATATGTGGATCCTTGTTAAATTATTTTCATTGTTCGATATCTGTAATATGTATATTGTATCTATATTATTTAAATTTATTGTACATATTATTGCACTTTAAAGAAAAGAATATTAATAACACAAGTTCCCTCCTTTTGTTTTTTGGTTTGTTATATAAGCATCTCTTGATTTTCAAAAATAACCATAGATTTTTCTCATCTTTACACTGGATTTAATTTAATTTAACAATGAGGTTCAGTAAATAATTTTAAAAATTCAGTTTTCTATTTAAATTCAGTGAATAATTTAAAAAATTGTTATATTTCCCCCCTAATTTATGTTTATTCAGCGCGAGTAATCCGCCATCTTGTGTAGCCACGGGTTGTGATTAAAATCTCTACTTTCCCCGCTTTTAAAAAAATATTTAATAAAATTTGGACTAACGAATACTAGATAGATTTTAATTTGTTACTCGTAAGATAAAAATTAGAATTTCAATTATAAAATGAAATACCTCACAATGAACAAACATTTCTTAAAATTGTAGTTACTTGTTCCAAATAATATTTGAATGAAAAGAGGCAAAATAGTCTGATTACTTTTTAAAGTGAACAGAAATAAATAGATGAACAAATATAATTTTAACCATTTTTAAAATTAATGTACTGCATTTCTTAAAAATGTAGTCACTTGTTCCAAATAATATTTGAATGAAAAAAGGCAAAATAATCAAATTGACTACTTTTTATTTAGCAGCCATGAGAAGTAATTAAACGTCTACAGTTTTGCTCGTCAGTGCATTTTGCACAAACATGTTTCCACGAAATTTCATTTCAGCAATAACATTCTGTGCATCAGCACGGGATTAAGTAATTAATTTGACGAAAATATCCGAAGCGTGTGTATAGATTTTGAGGTTACGTGCAACTTAACCTAAAAATTTAGACGTATGCTTCGGATGTTCCAGTGCGTTTACGTGTAGGTACAAGGTGGATTCGTTTGCATTGTAATACTCGCTATATTTAATGCACCGTGGATGCAATGCGGCTTGAAATTGGTTCCTGAGTGCAAGTCGGATATACCTTGCAATATACTCTTTATGATTATTACCTACTTGAGCGAATGGTTGCACCGTAGCCCGCGCTTCTTCGCTAGAGAGAATCTCGAAAATATCCAAGAAGCAACCGTTTTATGCAGACTACGAACACTGACGGTTTACGTCGTTGCTTCTGAACGTCTACTAATGATATGTATAATAATTTTAATCGATCGCGATGATCCGTGTCGCGTGCAGCGTTTAGTCGACGTTGAAAGTCTGATGAGATACGATAACACCTATATTCCCGTCAGTCGCTTCGATTTGGAGATCTCGAAGAAAGAATAACGGATGTTCTTCCGAATAGCCCTAGTGGCAGGTTTAAATCTAATTTTATGGAGGATCAAGGAACAGGATCGTAATTACAAAATTTTAACTTCGGATATTTAATCATTTCCAAGATTCAAACACGACCATTTTCTAACCTCAATTTCTATAGAACGTCTCACTTAAAATTTACCCGCCTTTTTTTCAAGTTGCATTACACTTCAATTTTGGTGATCAAACAGTTATGACACTTCGATTAACAATCTCTAGATAAATTATTCTGTAATGTATCCCATAGAAAATAGATTTTTATATCAAATTTTAATTTTGTTAGTTTGCAATTCTAATTTAACTTGAATATGTAAAAGTAGTCAAACCTAATGAAATATCTCTGAAACTATTAAATTCCCGAAGCTAAAATTTTATATTTGAAATCCGTACCTCTCCCCCCACCGCTCCACCAAATTTCATACCAATCGGTCGCTGGAGCTTTTTGGAATGTGCAACCAAAAAAAGCCAAATAATACTCGATTTGAATAAAACCGATCCAAGAATTCGGTATATTTGTAGTATATATATATACATTGTACATTGTATAATGTACTTGAACGTAGAATTGTCCGAGTACTTGATTTCCAAACCAAGATATAACTCATTTTTTCAAACCGAGTCAAGTATTCGATTATTCAAGTAGCTTGAACATTCGATCCAACTAAAATGTTGGAACAACTAGTTTATACAAAATGTGAGAATGACTATAATGTAAAAAGTTAAAAACCGCGAAGTTGTCGACGATGCCCCCCCATTATAAGTTTTGTTCAATTTTAAATTGAAGTATTTTGAACAACTTTTTTCTTTTCCAATAATAGGCCTTAGTTTTGTAGATGTTTGCAAAAATTCTAGAATATTCTTCCAAGTGGCAACGGACGTCGAATATAAAATTTTAGCTTCGAGAGTTAAATGGTAGATGGCGCATCGAAGACAACGGAATAATTGTGTGAACGGTAGAAAACGAATGAAAAACAAACTGACGCGAACACAGGGGTTACTGTAGATAATCGACAAACGCAAACATTCCCTCTGCTTTTTAACGTAAACCGGTGTACAATTGCAACTGTAAGAGACGCCGTGTAGAATGTACGAGTTGCGTCACTGAACCTAACCTAGTTAACAGCATGTGGAAACGCTATGTGTAATCCGAATAACAATAAAAATCCTGATCACGGGTGGTACCTTTATATTGACCTATTTCTTTGGAAATTGTCTTTCATTTTACGTTATCAATGTTCGTTTTCATTGTATAATATAATTAAAATTTCAATTTTTATATTTCTCGATATATCATTATCAAGGTATTACTGATTACTATTAGGGGGGGGCTTACAGTTAAAATACCTGCATCGATACAGTTAAACGGATCCCAATTTTTAATCGAAAATCGATACATTTTCTGGGAAAAATTTTAATGGGAGATTCCAGAGGCCAAAATAAAACGAAAATCAAGAATATCAATTTCTTGAGGCATCCTTAAAAAGTTATTAAAAAATTTGAAATCATTCTGAAAAAATTGTTTTTGGTTACGGGGGTCAATTACGATCATTTTTGGTGAACAGACATACCCCCGAAATCCTACGTATTTTCAAAGTACAAAGCTGTGATAGAATTATAGGGAATGCAAATGTAAGATAGATTGTCTAGAAGAAATAAATCCTTTTCAATTACTGACGAAGCTGGTATAGAGTAGAATGCACGGTGTAATCTTGGTCGTCGGATATATCCCGGCTGTGAAATCCTTGGGGAGCTCTCCCGCCTTGTACGCAAGGACGCTTCAATGAACAGAAACCCTTAATGGATACAGCTCTGTAGTCCCCGGACGATCGTCAGCAAAATTTCACATTTCGACCACATATGGTACTTACGTTCTATACTCGTAAGCACACGAAGAAAGAAATAGGAAAGGACTCGATCGTCTTTTCATTCCATTCGTTACGCAACATATACGGGGAAGAAAGTACAAAAGTTCACTTCTTCCCGTTTGTCTGAGCAAACTTTACTGATGAACGCGAGTAACGTTTGCTCGAACATCGAAATACAGAACTGACACGATTTACCAAAAAATAAAATTAATCGTTCGGTCTGTTTGTTATGTATGCAAAAAAAAATGAAAAAATGTTAAAACACTTTGAATGTAAACTTACACAAGCATTAGAATTGAGTAAAATTGTATAGTTTTTAAAAGTTTTTAAATTGTTGAGTGTTCGACATAACCTCATTTCTGGATCGATATTGTTATTTGTCTTTTCTCTTTCTGTAGTCGTTATGTAGCCACCTACAATTTCTATGTTTGCCCTAAATCACTCATGAAGAGTTCGATGAGACTCTGTTACGTATGCAAAAAAAAATGAAAAAATGTTAAAACACTTTGAATGTAAGCTTACAAAAGTATTATAATTGAGTAAAATTGTATAGTTTTTAAAAGTTTTTAAATTGTTGAGTGTTCGACATAACCTCATTTCTGGATCGATATTGTTATTTGTCTTTTCTCTTTCTGTAGTCGTTATGTAGCCACCTACAATTTCTATGTTTGCCCTAAGTCACTCATGAAGAGTTCGATGAGACTCTTGCAGGCGTGGATCAGAATAGACCCAAGCACGGTTGACAAAGAATTAATTAACATTCCCTATTTGCAAAACAGATGAGATCAGGTACGGTACAGAGGGCTATTGATTACAGCCAATTGTGAACAGGCTATGTCAATAATAGGCACCGTAGAAGAAACATCGTCTGCAGCTAATGTTCCGGCAAATTGGCTTCGCGGGCGTAGATACTGTCGCCTCTTGGGAGGAATCTACAAGTACGAGTGGGTTTTCTCGCGCCGATTTTTCCCGTAACTACCTCACGTCCCGACGATACACGTTCCACGTACCACCATAAAAGGCGATCTCCTCCCACCCCACACACTGTCTCCCACGTCAAGTATTTCTAAGAAAACTTATTTCGTTCGCGAATGCACAGTATGCCCCGGTAAATCGTCCTGCTACCACCGCGAAGACAATTTCACTTTGAGGTTAAGTTCGAGACCACATTCGGTTGTGACCGGGACAACTACACGAACAGAATTTTCGACTGAAAATCTGAAACAACATGACTTTTTGCCAAATTTTGGAAATTTATTTGTTCTAATTGAAATTTTTACATTTCGCTGCTATTAAAATTCTAGTAAGATTTCATTTTACAGTGTGTACGTAGTAATACTCGACTGCGATGTCATTCTAAATTTGCTCGACTCGAGGATAATTATACCCGATTTTCCACTTATATTTATTCGATAATTCCCTCAGTGTAGAATTTAAAAGGTATAATTTGAAACATAACCTATTAACTCACTTTCCATTGGTATACTTATTCGATAAATTCCTCAGTGTAGATTTTAAAAGTTACAATTCGAAACATAACCTATTAACCGTGATATTTACTTGATTGATCAATTTTTTTACCTTTATAAAGAAAGAATATTATTAATCTAGTTAAAATAAACGCAGTGGTGTGAAATAATTTTGTTGAGAAATATAATGCTTGTCGAATGATACGTTGTATTTAGCAAAACCTAGGTCTTCGTATTTCTCGGAATATAAAAGGCTGTCGAAGACTATCTATCATCGCTTCCATGTAATTCTAAACAATTCTCTATGGTATACGTTACACGGTGAAAAAGTTCGCGTAAAGAAACGACGATTTAATCGTGCACGTATCTACAACTGATATAACGAGCAAGGATTTAAATACAACCTTCAGTCGTCTACAATAAAGTCGACAAGCTGTGTATTTAAAGAAACATTTTAATTGCAGGGGGTAAGCCGCTTACGTGTCCCTCTCTCGTGCATTAATAAAAACGACCCTCTTGTTACGGGACGCGAACCAGTAGCAGGTATTGTATCTACAATAAAGTAATTCGACTTTGCTTTCGAAGCCAAAGCCTCTCGATGAATTTTCTTGAATGTTAAAAAAGGCCAACAATAGAGGGAGCAGCATACGTCTTCACGGAGACTTACCACGGAATTAAGAGACAAATTGCACGCATTAAATTTATGCTTTAAACTTCGTTTAAATTATGCAAACAATTTTAACAAAGATAACATCTCTATTCGCCTTTTTTCATTTCTTTCCGACAGTTTCGCGAATAAATGTTTGGTATCAAAGTTAGTAATTAACCCACAAGAAATCGTAATTATTAAAATTTTTTGAAACTGATTTTTTTATGAATATCAAAGTCACCGCTGTATCTTTAAATGGAACTAGACATTTTTAATTTCATAATGTGTCAAACCTACTGCTTGCTATTTCATATTTCGATATATCTTATAAACTAACCTATAATTTCGTTATTAAAATTTTGAAAGTCTATTTTTAAAACTTTGTACTGTATGAAGAAAAATCGAAATGTAAAGTTTGTTAAACAAACTGTAATTAACTGTTTTTACATTTTTCTTGTTACGGTCCTGATTGCACGTACCGGAATGGAATATGAAATAACCAATAATTTCGTTATTAAAATTTTGAAAGCCTATTTTTAAAACTTTGTATTTTCGATTTCTGAAGAAAAATCGAAATGTAAAGTTTCTTGTTACGATCCTGGTTGTATGTACCGGAGTTGAATTAAAGTGCATTGCATTAAAAATAAAATATCAATCCTTTAAAGGACCTCGACTGTAGAACCAGATGAGAGAGAAAAGGGTGTTCTGGTTCAAGGAGATCGTATAAAGAAAAGCTGATCCTGTATGTAATTGGGCATCAAAACGCTATATTTTCCATGGTTAACTTCGCAAAAAGGTTAGTTTGCGGAGAGCGTAATAACTTGACGCGGACAAACCCGAATAGAGGCTCGATCTTGTGGCGAGTGAAAATATCATAGAGGAACCGACGCCACGCGGAGGATGCTTTATGAGGACTCTCCTCAGAGTTGATGGTATGCCTTGTTACCGGGAAGAACCGTGTTCCCCCGGGTAATATCGTATACAATTATGTCCACAGAAAGGAAGATATGCATTATGGATGCTGACACTATGCCCGGTAAATCATGTCGCAGGGTTGGTTAACTCTGCAAATGATCTGCTGAATCACGCCTCGCCACCATCCGCGGGATAAGCAAGCTTTTCTTTCTACGATCGTTTTCGCTTTTTCCTAAACAGGGAAACTTAACAAAATATAGAATTTTTTCTTCCATTGAATACACCTATATTAGTAATTCATTTTATAGTATTAAATGAATCAATTATACGATTTGGAAAAATCTAACTAACCAAACGAATGATTTAATCACAGACTAGGTATAGGAATAGACCTTACAAACAATGTATTTCTTCGGCTAATTTCTATGGGGTCTCGAAACCTCATTATCATTTTCGTGTCACTTGCAATATTACCAACAGATTTAGAAATGAATTTCAATCCCTGCATGGTCAACTCGCATGTAGCTATGCACACACTAAAGCTGTGAGCCCATCAATACTATATTAGTGAATAGTTTCTCAACTGACCGCCATCCATGAGAAGAGGGCGCTGAAATCACTTCCGAATGATGAAGTCGGTATGGCAGTCAGATTGGGCCACGAAAGTCCATAAGGTGAAAGATCTAATCGTACACCTTGTCTGTGGTTGTAGCGTGTGCATAAATACATGTAACAACGCATATTTTGGTGAAGAATATTTAAAAATTTCTAAGAATGTTCGAAAAGTTATTTCTTAACCACGCAAAGTAAGAAAAACCCTACAAAAATGGTCCAATTTTCAAACAACCGTATCTCTTGCAATAGTCAGTGTATCTCATTGAAATTTAGTCTCGCAGTAGAGCTCATGGAATTCTACAAAAAAGTACTAAACAACATTTCCGTATAGCGTAAAACAAATTTTTAAGAAAAATCGACAGGGTGTAGGTGCTGAAATTTTTCGCCAAAAAGAAAAATTTCAAATCGTTCTGAAAAAATTATTTTCGGTTGCTGGGGTCAATTACAATCATTTTTAGTGAACAGACATACCCCCGAAATCCTACCCACTTTCGAGAAAAAAATTCGTAGGTGCCTAAATTTTTCGGCGAAATTAAAAAATTTTTAATCGTTCTGAAAAAATTATTTTCGATTGCGGGGGTCAATTACAATCATTTTTGGTCAATAGACCTACCACCGAAATCCCTCGCATTATCGAGAAAAAAATTCGAGTAGGCGCTGAAATTTTTCGCCAAAAAAAAGAAATTTCAAATCGTTCTGGAAAAATTATTTTCTATTGCTGGGGTCAATTACAATCATTTTTGGTGAACAGACATACCCCCGAAATCCTACGCATTTTCGAGAAAAAAATTCCTTACCGAAAATATAATTTCAGGCCAGAAATGTCACATCAAAAATTTCGTGCGCAATATCATTAACTAATAGCTCAATGTATATGGAATAGTAAATATTGGTAAGAAATAGTGACTATACATATAATTGGTAAACTTTAGTTTTATTAAAATTTGTACAGATTCAGATGGTACGATGTATAATGACAATTTCCCGATATTGCGTTCAATATTTACATTTTTTAACAATTTCTCTTCGTCGAACATGATTCTTTGATGATTAAATAATGAAATAATATTCTTACTATTAATTTTATGGACTTATTAATGTAATGTACCTTTCATAGGATCGTTGTATATCATATTAAAAAATAAGTACATAGTTAGTTATTCATCTAGTTAGTTAGTTAGTTATTCATCTAGTTAGTTAGTTAGTTATCATCTATCATTTATTCGAAGTTAAACACTTCCAGTTCCGTTAACTCAGACTCTTCGTCAATCTCCAAACAATACAAGTTATCCTTCGTCGCAGGTTTCCAATGTACTTTAACAAAGTCATTGTAACTTGGGGTAGGATTTCTATAAAATAAATGTTAAATACATTAAAAACATTTAATATATGGGCATTTAAATCAAGTGCAGCGTATCTGAAATTCCATAAACTTACCCTGTTCTAGCAAAGTTGGTCCACATTGTGGTCAAACGTTCCAATATATTTCTGTCTTTAGTGCCAATTGCAGGTGGATCAGGATTGTCATTTTTACAAATGGGTAAATAAAACAGGTACGACAAATCATCCATATGGCACGCCTCTAAACATATTTTCAAATGTTACTATTACGTAATAATATACAGGGTGTTGAACCACCCCTGGGAAAAATTTTAATGGGAGATTCTGGAGGGCAAAATAAGACGAAAGTAAAGAATACCAATTTGTTGATCGAGGCTTCGTTTAAAAGTTATTAACGTTTAAAGTTCCAGTGTCGCGCGCACGCAACTTCCCGTTCTACTGGCGCATCTTTAAACGTTAATAACTTTTTAACGAAGCCTCGATCAACAAATTGGTATTGTTGATTTTCGTCTTATTTTGGCCTCTAGAATCACCCATTAAAATTGTTTAAAATAATATTAATTTACCATTTATAATACGTTTTAACTGAACATCAATGATTGTACTTTCGGTGCCGACGTATGAAAACCTGTAAATGTAACTAGGCGTGGACGTTCTTTCCAATCGATCCTTAATGTACAATTTCAAGGGGGCGACAAAAAGAACATATGTGATAAAACGTATAAATATTTCTATTTTGTCTGATGTGATTGGTTGCCCATTAAAATGCTGATTTTTCACAGCCGTTAATAATTCTTGGAATTCTGCTGGCCCCAACTTCCTCAATTGTCCTATGATCTTCACCAGGTCGGGTAAATTAATATTGCAATATTCTATAGTCTCCTCTTCCGTGTCTGAAACACGATAATATCGTATAAAAATAACCGACATACGTTCCCTCCGGTAAAAACGTAGACGTGGATGAAAATTACCATCGACGAACATGATGCATTCGTTCGACGTGTATCCGGTCATAATAGGAATGTTAATATCGTTCGAGTGTAGTTGTTCGATCGGAAATGGTAAAACAGGGTCGTCCGCTATGTCATCGTAATTCACTCCAAATGGTATGTCGAACAGGTCAGCCTCCTTTAGAAAAGTAAAAAGAATGAGAATAGTTCGGAACGAGAAAATTTTGAATGAAAGGTAACAGTAGTGAAAATAGCTTTGCCTCTCTTGTGAGAATCGACGAATAAGCTCCGACGATATCTTTGTCGGATATGTTACGCAGCATTTCGACAACCTCCACGGGATCTGTTGATTTTATTCCAAGAACCGATGCAAGCTTAAAATACCGTTGTGGACGACTTTGGCCGAATCCCCAGCTACTCGTCAACATTCCACTTTGTAAAATCGTTTTGTGAAACAGCCCTGAGGAACGAAGATAATTTTGTTAGAAATAAGGCGCCATTTGTTTCTGCGCCACTTAGAGTTCCTCCGACTTACTATCATTGAACCGTGTGGCTTTTGTTTGTCGCGAAGCCTCGCGCTCATTGGCACGTTGACTGCCGTGGGGGTCAGTGGTGACCAGCGTCGCATGATAAAAAATTCATCTTAGCGCTATGGCCAAACCACGCAAAATACGCGCGGCAGTCAACGTGTTAAAAGTGCGTTGTCAATAGGGAGTCGAGTTTTGTTCATTTTAACCTCCAAATTCCCACAAATTTCTGTACAGAGTGTGCTATTTTTTAACGCTAAACCTACCGACGTTTTATGTATACCGATCCCATAACCGATCAAACGACCAGTCTTTCTTCTCGTTTATTACGAAGTAAGGTACTTTTAATTTTTTTTCTTTTATGTCGAATATTTTTTCTTAAAATTTAAAAAATCTGCACAGACGTGTTGAATAATTTCACTCTAAACGTGCATACTTGGTACTTCGACTTCGTACAGAGAATGTGCAAATCATGTCGAAATTATTCAATATTCGACGGATAGAGTGTGAAGAATCTTGTTTCGAGCCGATAGCGTAATTAGTTCCGGAGATATAACGAATTTTTTTTTCGGGTCGCGTGGTCAGTTCCGGAGATATAAGAGTTCAAAGCGTTTGTTTACTTTTCCTCGTTGAGCGTTGACGTCACGTTCGCCTCGCGTGAATTCTTGGTAATATGTATTACGTTGCTCGGTCACCAGTCACCCGGTCATTACTCATGTGCAAGAGAGAGAGAGAGAGAGAGAGTGAGAGATATCCGACGCGTCAGATCGCAGACAGCGATAGCGGAAATTAAAATATTACACCATCCTTTACACGACGTTATTTCCAAAACGGAAAGTCGAATTTACATAAAACGCTTTACTGATTCTAACAGTTGTTCATTTATGGATAAAGTATTGGTAGTTTTGCAACTACACCTGTCTAAAGTTTTATTGCTTTTAATAGGCGTTAATATGAATTGTGGTCCTCTGACTTGAAGTCCCGTGCGGCGGCACCGGGGCATGAGGAGTGGGACCGCCCATCTATCTATCTTGCGCCCTTGCTCTCAGGCAGTCCACGCATGCGTGTGAACTGCCGCGACGAACAGCGAGCCAGAGTTCAATGTATGCGTGGGAATACGTGTATCCCTTCTACTTTTCTCGTGTGCCCGCCACGCGACTCGGGACTTGAACTTAGCGGAGGACAGTGGGTCTACAGCAAGGGTCGACAACCTATGTCTCGCGGGTTACCGAGTGACCCTTTTGATAATCCCAAGTAATCCACTCTAGCTCCAAAAATAAAGTATAATGTATACAAATAAATTATGAAACATAAACCCGAAACAAACATTTTGCGAATAAAAAAATTGATAATAGATACTAAGAATATCATTTTAGCTCTGTTTCATAAGCGTTTATGTAAGAGATTATTTCATGATGATGTGGACAGAAATGTATGGGTGTATCGAAAATGGTGACGAATTGATACGTACTTTATGTAGAGATAGAATTACCGCGAGGACTTACAATATTGAGCAACACTTTTCTTCAAAATATAACGATACGAGTGAAATGGCAAATAAAGATAAATCTGTGTATTAAATTTTGGAAAACAAGATAAATTCTTAATGAGTTTTGTTATCAACGGAAAACCATTTACAGACGGTGAGTTTTAAAAAAATGCATTCATAAATTGCTTCGAACACTTATTTAATGACTTTGCAAATAAAAAGGAAATAATTGAGAGAATCAAAGAAATGCCATTGTCATCTAGAACAGTCCAGACGTCGCGTTGAAGATATGGCTGAAAATATCGATGAACAAATCAAAAATGATTTGTTATCCCGTGACGTAATTAGGCACTGATATTTTTCCTCAAGTACAAGAGTTTGCAAATTTAAAAAATGGCCGAGTATTGGATTTAAAAAGTAAATTGTTTTCCATAACAACCGATGGTGCCCCAAGCATGAGAGAAAAAACTGTTGGATTTGTAAAACTAATTGAAAATGAACTTGACCGCACGCTTTTATCGTTTCATTGTATCATGCACGAAGAAAATTTGTTTGCAAAGGCGTTTACGCAACAACTTAACCTCTTCACGCTCTTGGCCACATATGTGGACGTTTAGTTCTTTTTTTTATATAATTATAGTTACTGTCGATAAAAAAAAAATCGTCCCTGAGGCATGGAAAATAAATTTGCACTATTTTCAATATCTAATAATAAAAAAATAAAAATAAAAAATAAAAGCTCAAATGTTATGAACGGATAACTTTAATAAATTATGGCATGATTTGGAAAAAACAATAGATAATATAATCTTCTCCTGATATTAACATGTTTTTCATCACTTCAATGAAGTCATCTTTGAAAAGAAAAAATTGACTTCGCCATTTTGTGCAGATTCGGTTCAACTTGTGCGAGCAAATATTTTCACAAATGAAATTTATATTAAGCAAAATAAGACGAAAATCAAGAATACAAATTTGTTTATGGAGGCTTCGTTAAAAAGTTATTAACGTTCAAAGTTCCACTATCGCGCGCAGCTGTTCGCCAATCGCCGTTCTACAATCACAACTTTAAACGTTAATAACATTTTAACGAAGCCTCGAACAACAAATTGATATTCTTGATTTTCGTCTTATTTTGGCCCCCAGAATCTCTCATTAAAATTTATCGTGAAATTAAATTAAGGAGTGGAAAAATTAATGATCAACAATTGTTAACTCTACTCCCGCAAGAAATAGTATCGTCAACTTCACCAGATATTTGGAATTTATCATTAGAGCATGTTTGTGAATCGAATTAGCTGCCTGAATTTTTCGACGAAAAAAAGAGATTTTAAATCGGTTTGGAAAAATTATTTTCTGTCGCGGGGGTCAATTATAATCAGTTTTGGTGAATAGACATACCCCCGAAATCTTGCGCATTTTCGAGAAAAAATTTCGAGAAGGTGTGAAATTTTTCGACGGACGAAAAAAATTTCAAATCGTTTTGGAAAAATTATTTTCGGTTGCGGGGGTCAATTACAATCATTTTTGGTGAACAGACATATCCCCGAAATCTTACACATTTTCGAGAAAATAATTCAGAACTGGCGGAACTTTAAACGTTAATAACTTTTTAACGAAGTCTTAATCAAGAAATTGATATTCTTGATTTTCGTCTTATTTTGGCCCCCAGAATCTCTCATTAAAGATTTTTCCCAATTTCTGTTCTTTTATTCGAAGAAACATATTTTCGACTATTCGAGTGTACAGTACTGTGCCGAATTATTAAAAGTTCTATCCGAACGTAATATTTCTCTTTATTGATCTGAACTTATAGTGCAGAAATATCGGCAAATTTAAAATAAAAAAAATTAAAATCGATAATTGTACCTTGTGTTTTTGGTGATATAGTCAAGGCGTGGGCTAATACTGCTCCTGCGCTTTCGCCAATGAGCGTAACGTTGTTAGGATCTCCTCCAAATTTGGCAATATTCTCCTTGACCCACTGCAGTGCTGCAATTAGGTCTTTCAGGCCCTGGTTTCCGGGCGCAGCTGGGTGTCCAAGATTTAGGAAACCTTTAAAACATAAACAAATATTCCTGGTCAGTGCTAATATTCCACAATAAATGCAATAAAATTTTGTCTCTTTAGTTATCGAGCTCGAAATGGTAATCGAACGTACCGAATGCACCCAGTCGGTAATTAGCCGCAACAACGACGACATCTTTCGCGAGCAAGTAATCTGGTCTTATCTGGGCGAAACACGAACCCCATACCGTAAATTTACCACCGTGGATCCAGAAGATTACCGGTTTCGATTGTTTAATGGAATTGGTGTACACGTTTAGATAAAGACAATCCTCGGTTCCGATAGAGTTGTAAGGGGGATCCGGTAGTGCCTGCGTACACATCTTTTTCGTGCAGACAGTGCAATTTTTGATACCTGTCCATGACGCAGGTGGCCTTGGATCCTATTTTACATCAGAAAATGTTAAATCATCAAGAAAAATAAATATCTCTACTCTATACTCTATCTTCAGAATAATCAGGTATCATTTTTATTCTTTAACACTAGGTTACATATTTTTATTAAACCGAGCCAATCTGACTCATGCAACAAAATTGAAGTTTTTTGGAAAATCAAAAAAATAGCTCCAAATCAATTTAAATCAAAGATTTATTATTAAAAACATTGTTAAAAACATTTTTTACATATAAACTCTGTTTTTGAAATACATTTTTTTTAAACATTTTTATTAGATCTACCACAAAGGCTGTTGCATTTATGATATTATAGATTTGATTTACCAAGCTAATTTCGATATTTATTTGTTAAAAGTATTGCAATTAATGTTCATTTTAGATCTAATTACAAAAAGAAAATAGTTTCAAATCAATTTAAATCAAAGATTTACAATTAAAAACTTTGTTGAAAACATTTTTTACATATAAACTCTGTTTTTGAAATATATTTTTTTTAAACATTTTTATTAGATCTACCACAAAGGCTGTTGCATCTGTAATACTATAGATTTGGTCCAGCAAGGTAATTTCGATATTTATTTGTAAAAGGTATTGCAATTGATATTTATTAATATAAATAACGTTTTAATTGACAGATATTAGTCTATTACCTTGAATCTCAGTTGTCCAATGGGAGGAGCCGCGAAAGGTATCTCGTGGAAAGCGACGTAAGTAGAACCAAGAACACCTGCGACACTAGTACCTCGTACTTTGCCTTCCTTTAAACTAATTATCGGCCTGTACATTGTCGATCGAACTTTGAACAATTTAAGAACCCTTTGCTAGTTATTTCTAACAATGTAGAAAAATTCTGACACTTTTGCAGAAAAGTATTTAAAAGATGATTCGTTTTACACAAACTTCATGTCGCGAATATGCAAGTTCCAACGCTGGATGTATATATGTACGCCCGCTGTTACGTATGCCGAACGTTATGTTCCGCAATTTTTCCTGGTCACGTGAGCCCATTAGAAAATCGCCTTGCCATTTATCTAATCTGAAATGGGGGTCACTTCCGACGAGATACAGCAGTTCTATAATTAACGCAATTCGGAGAATACGATAATTTCTAATAGATTTGGATCTACCCCTACAGATTTTAGAGTCAAGGTCACATCTCTCGCCACATCTCTGGCGACTTTTGGCGGCAAGCATCCCATGATCCGGTCTACTCACATTCGTATCGGTGTTTGGCCCGTGGGAACTTTCGCCTCCGACCTCCGGGATGCCATGCAAGGATAAGGCCACCAGACATCTCAGGTTGATGACCTCATCTTCGCATCTCGTCCCAGCGACTGCCTCTATTCGCCATCTGGGGACGCGCCACGTAGGGGTTCACCTCACCTTTTATTGTTTTTTTTTTTTTTGGACGTGGGGACATCCTCATGGACACCTCGAGGCCCCAAGTAGGGGAAATCCTCATGTATACTCCTAGGCCCCAAGTAGGGGAAATCCTCATGGATACTCCTAGGCCCCAAGTAGGGGAAATCCTCATGGACACCCTGAGACCCCAAGTAGGGGAAATCCTCATCGACACCCCAAAGCCTCAAGTAGGGGAAATCCTCATGGACACCACGAGGCCCCAAGTAGGGGAAATCCTCATGGACACCCTGAGACCCCAAGTAGAGGGAGCCTCGGGGTAGTGCCGGATTCTTACCGGCTAAAACCCTACAGTGACCGTCCTCTGGCGCCTGGCGAAGGACCGGAACTCTAATGAGACATCACAGAGTCCCCCGCAGCGCCTCATTCCGGGGAGAAAGGGCGACATGTCCCTCCTCTCCCGATTTCTCTGCGGCGGACACCAGGTCACCTGACACCTGCGGCCCCAGGGCTACCTTCGGTACTCGGGCCCCTAGCACCGAGCACATGCAGTACCCAGGGACGACCCGTCAATCTCCTGGCCACCGATGTGGTGGTCGGAGGAGAGTGCAGTCGGGCCACCCCACTTCTGGAGGTCCCTCAAGGCCGTTGGAGGGGGCCAGGAGACGAATGATACCTCGCCCTGGCCCCTCTCCGAGCGGGATGCGCGACTCGCTCGCGCTCCCTCTCGGCGGCCTCCTTCTACGACGTAACTATCTCGCAGAAGGAGGCTACCACAAGGGGTTCACCTCCCCTGCCGCCCTGGACAACCAAACAAGTGCGTGGGCATCAGGTTCATTTTTGTTGTGCGTGGGGAAATCCTCATGGACACCTCGAGGCTCCTAAATAGGGGGGTCTCGAGGTAGTGCCGGACTCCTACCGGCTAAAACCCCACGGTGACCTTCCTCCGGCGTTGTGGCAGGGGATCAAGAACTCTATTGAGACATCACAGAGCCCCCCGCTGCGCACGTGTCTTCTCAGGCCCCTCCCGGTGAGAGGCACTCCACCCACTGCATTTCCACTCAACCACAGACGCTTGGTCACCAGCGCCCACGGCCCCGTGACATGGGACTAAGCCGCCAGTCGCGTGGCCACGTTGGCCACAGGACTCACCCTCAGCCAATTGGCCAACCTGCTGCCTTAGGTAATACCCGCAAGTATCCCATGCCCCAGTCCACTCTCACACACGCAACATATTCATATCGGTGTTTGGTCCACGGGAGCTTTCACCTTCGACCTTCGGGATGCCATGCGAGGATGCGGCCACTTGCCTTCTCAGGCTGATGACCTCATCCCCGCATTCCATCCCAGAGGCTGCCTCTATCCGTCACCTGGGGACGCAACACGTAGGGGTTCATCTCCCCTGCAGTCTGGTCAACCAAACAGGTGCGTGGGCATCAGGTGCATCTGTGATTTATCCAACCTCCTAGCAGCTCCTCGATTACGCATCGAGTTCGTCTGCGTCGTCAACAATCCTGGTGACTCCCCGACTATTCATCGGGTTCGTTCACGACGTTTCACCCTACTGCAGCTCTCTGGTCTTGCACCAGGTTCTGCCGTACGTGACTCCATCCTAGAGGCTCCCTGATTTTGCATCAGCACCTTACTGACAAATTGATATCATATTCCATACCCTCTCTCCCACTCGCAGGCCACGCGCGCTGCACGGCCCTGGCTCGTGACACTGTAATAAAGATATACGTCTACAAATATACAAATACGATACATAAATTTGATATACTTATCGCTTCCGCCTCTATAGATAGGCCTAATAGCTACTTTGATATATTTGTCAGCGAATGTTGATCAGGGTTGATGTGAATTTATAAACACTTGATTGTTGCGTGGACTGTATTTAATTCGGCACTTGAGTATAGGAAGGGCCCTGTTACGATAAGTTATGCGCAAATGCATGTAGACGCAAAATAAAATTCTATGTTTACATATGAAGGGTGTTCGGGCAACCGTGGGAAAAATTTTAATGGGACATTCTGGAGGCCAAAATAAGACGAAAATGAAGAATACCAATTTGTTGGTCGAGGTTTCGTTAAAAAGTTATTAACGTTTAAAGTTGTGCTTGTAGAACGGTGAACAGCTGCGCGCGATAGTGGAACTTTGAACGTTAATAACTTTTTAACGAAGCCTTCATCAACAAATTGGTATTCTTGATTTTCGTCTTATTTTGGCCTCTAGAATCCTTCATTAAAATTTTTTCCCAGGGTTGGCCGAACACCCTAATTTATAGCACCGTTTTGTTATTGATAAGTCAATAAATAATTCAAGAAAGATTGAACAAAATAATTTACTATTTCCAATAGTTTTAATATAAGTGTACTTATGAGAAGAGGTTTGACAAAAAAGAATTGACACAACGAGTTGAAATGTGATTAAAAACATTGTGTGATTTTTATTCTCCAAAATTACATGAAAAGTTTACAACGAGAAATTTTCTTAAAGCAATAAACTAGCTTTTCTAAAAAAAAGTAAACTCGCGATTAAACAATCAGGTCACAATTTGTTTCTTTTTCTATTTCTCGTTGAGGCGCCCCAATATGGTTCATTGTATGATTTCGCGTAGAGCCGATCTTGATGCTGTCTTGCGCGACCGATTAATGCCTCTTTGTCTGAAAGAAGCTCTACTGTTTGAATGCAGTTTGAATCCCAACTAGAACTCTATGAAAACTCTATCTCAAAATAGGAAACTATCGTTAAATGCACAGGCTTAATAACATAACCTAGAATGCCAAGAACGTTGTGATATGCAAATATACCAATTATAAGCGATAAAAAAAGAATTTATTACTTTCAGTGTAAATTGTACTGATAAAACATGGCGTAACAGTCTTAATAAGTATAGATCGATAAATCAATATTTATGAACAAACGAGTATTTATTAACATAGTTTGATCGTCAGGTATCTTCTGTACCATGCGTGGCTGTTACCCGACAAAGATGAATAAGATTGGAAAGGAATTGCATGGTTCAGGGTAAAGAACGAAACGAAGGAAATAGATACTGAAGTGGAACTAAGAACTTGAACTTAGATTTTCATAGTTAGGATCGTTGCAACACAGAAGAGATATACGAGTAGACCTTTTCACCTTATGGACATTCGACTCCCAATCTAACTGCCATACCGACCTCGCATTCGGAGGTGATTTTAGCGTCCTCTTCTCGTGGATGGTGGTCAGTTGTGAAACTATTCACTGAATTAGTATAGAAGAACAAAAGCAGCTGTAATAACCTATTTCTTGTCGATTTTTCTTAAAAATTCGTTTTCGATTTTTAATAAATTTGTGTGACGCTGTACGAAAATGTTGTCTAATACCTTTTTTGTAGGTAACCATAAGCTCTACTTCAGAAATAAAGTTCACTGAAATACATTCACTATTGTAAAAGTTATAGCCGACACGAGAATTGTTCTCGCATGCTTCGAGGTTAAACCCCTCGATGCTTGAATATTTTCCAAATTTACGATCCAAGATACACAACTTCTCTTCGTGTGCATTAATGTGTGTTTTGTTGGGTGTTGCAACATATCGTTTTGCGATTTTAGTGATGCAGTTTACATATCTTCGTTAGAATCCTGTATAACTTACTGATAAGAAACGAAAGATGGAAATGTATACACAAGAAAGTATTGTATAGAGGGCAGAAGGTCGAAGAAATGAATACGTGATGTACGTGATACGACCTTGGTTCTCGACAGGAATTCAAAGAAACTTTCAGTCCCGTCGAATTTCTCCATATTTTCATACCTATTGTTTGCAATAATTATTAATCAACATCAGGCAATGGTTAAAATAATGCTCGATAGCGTGGGTTGTATAAATAATTGTTTTTAATAGCATTTTGCATAGAATATTCAGTTTTCGGTCAAAGGCACGGTTAACTGTCAATTGATTGGTGAACTCGCCAAGGACGGTCTTCCCCACCCCTTCGACTCTTCCGCCTGAGGCTAGCTGCCGGTGACGAACTCTCTCCCTCTCTTTCTCCTCCGGGCTGGCGGACGTGGCTGACCGTCGTGGCGCTGCGCTCCGCTTCTACTGACCTCTACTGACTACTGGCGAGCTCTGGGGACCAATACTGACCAGTAGTGACCACTAGTGACCAAGACTGACCACTCGTGACTACTCGTGGGAGCTGTTGACCACTACTGACCACTACTGACCAGTGCTGAAATATCGCGTGTATCTATGTGTCAACAAGTAGTAAGTCCATTCCACTCAACTATATATATTACTAAGTCCATTCCATCCATTTATATGTATCAGTACAACATTTGTTTGTTTCTTTTATTTGATTGTACGGTGTCAATTGAATTTTGTCTGTCTATTCCTTATTATGGATGTTTCTTTCGTCTTTTTCGACTTTTCACATCAGCATCAAGTGAAAATGGTAATGAACTACCGTGTTGGTTCATTTTCATATTTGTTCCCATATTTCGTGAATTCTTATAACATCGATGGGAATATGGTTTTCAATTTTGTCTTATTACTCGAATTCTCGTAACATTTCACGGAGATACTTTGTTCAATTGTTGGGTACTTTCTTTTTGACGTTATCTGTGAAATTCTTTCGACGTTTCAACTACATATGTGATAATGGACTTTTACCTAATGAGAAATTACTTGTTGCATAAAATGTGTGGAATCGTTATCTGGGCAGATCGTCATTATTTTTCGATTATTCGGAATTTTTATTTTGTTTGGTGGTCGATTATAATTTTTATTTTGTCGATATTTGGGAATAATTTGATTCGTGATTTATTACCATTTTCACTGTCTCATTATGAGTCTATTTTGTACATTTCTTTAGGTATGAATATTTCCAAATTTCGTAGCTTCTCCAGCTCATAGATTCTCATCTATTTCACTACATTCTTCGATCCCATCAGTTCACTGATTGCTTAGTTTCTTTAATATGATACTAATATAGGTATGTGTTTTTGTTTTAGGTTAGATGTATTACAGATCATTTGCAAGGACATCGAGGGAAGACGTCACAACCGCCGAGGGACATATTATTCTTAGTCTATTAGATATAAGCTTGAGTTTTAAAATTAACGTCGACGATTTCTTTATTATACGTGTCTCCGCGTCCTACCAAGCAATTATTCAATAAGTAGCTTCTATCTCGCTCGTTCCCCCGTTCCTAGCTTCGATCGCCGCTGTTTCATCGATTGAAACATGTGATCGGCCGTGTATCTGGTCCGAAAGATCTAATCGCCTTCCCTTTGGTAGCTCGATCGAGGGAAAATGGTACTTTGCTGGAAGGTGTGGAGTTTCCGTATTCTGCGGAAACGCATACCTTCCAGCGAAAGTCGACACTGTTTCAGGTACTCTCTCTATGTCAGACAACTTGAGTCGGGTCCTTCGGGCTCCCGGCGGGTTGCATTGGAGCAATGGAGACCTTCGATTCGGAGTCGCAGCCGTCCGTTATCCCATAGAGATCTAGTTAGCAAGGGCAGTAGGTTCGATCCTCGGATCCGCTGCACGGTTCAGCGTCGCGTCGCGTCGCGTCGCGTCGCGTCGCGTCGCGTCTCGTCGCGTGTCCCCCGAATTAACTTCGTCCCTCTTTTTAACCAAATAATTGCTTGGTACAACTGAATCAGAACATCCAAGGAACTTTGTTTCCTTCTATCGTCCGAATTTTAGCTTCAACTTGACTAGACTCGAGCTTCGACGTTAATTTTAAGTCTCTATTGTATGCGTCTCCCAATATTGCCAAGTAATTATATAACAAGTAGATTCTCTCGACTCGTTCTCTCGTTCCTAGCTTCGATCACCGCTGTTTCATCGACTGAAACATGTGGTTGGCCGTCCAGTTTGTCCGAAAGATCTGATCGTCTGCCCATGATGGATCGATTTCTAGAAATAGAAATCAATCTACCAAGGTCAGTGTCGATTCGATCCGAAGATCTGCTGCACGGTTCAGCATCGCGTCGCGTCGCGTGTCCCACGATATAGCTTCACCCCATTTTAAACAAAATAATTGCTTGGTAAAATTAGATATAAGCATCGACGACTCCCATGTATGCGTCTGCGTATGTGCCAAGTAATTCTTTTACCAACTAGCTTCTCGTTCACCCGTTCTCCCGTTTCTCGTTCCGGTCACCACTGCTTTGATGTAGAAAGCAAGTGATCGGCCGTTTAGCTGATCCGAAGGGTCAGTTGCCGCCCTCTGGCGAGACGATCCAAGAGAAAGCGTATTTCGGCCGCAGATGGGATCAGGGACTGTTCCTGTCTACGGTAGCCCCGGCACACGCTCCCTCTCTCAGTCAGCCGTCTCGAGTTGGGTCCATCTGGCTCCCAACAGGATGCGTGGGAGAAATGGGGAACCTCTGCGTCGGGTGCGTCGATTCACTTCCCCTTCGATTGGACTTGCCAAGAGGCAACGGAGCTGACATTTTTGACCAGTTACTCGGTTCGCGTCGCGTATCTCGTTCCTTGCGTCGATCACTGCTGATCGACATCGCGTCGTATCGCGTCGCGTCGCGTATCCTACGATATAGCTTCGTCCCTTTTTAAACGAAAAAATTACTTGGTACAACTAAACTAGAAGATCGAAGGAACGTTGCTTCCTTCTATCTCTCTAGTTTAGTAATCTAGCTTGTAAGAATGTAAAAGGGAGATCGATGGAACTTTGATTCCATCTATCTCCCTTTGGGTCTCCACTCGCAGCAACCTCCTCGTGGTGAGACCTGGTAATCTGTGTTACCCACGATAAAAAAGCTTATCTATCGTGGGTAACACAGAGCTAATGGCTGTGAATTTAGAATTGTTTCTCGATATAATAAACAAATTTAAATTTATAGTTAGGCAGGTGTTTGGTTAACCATTATGTTATGCAGGTTATTTTTATTTGAAGAAAAATTCTTTTGACAATTCTTTCGACTCTCTTCGTTGGTTATGCATCTTTCATTGGTTGCACTTTCGTCTGTTTCTTCTTCGATCGACGATCGTTGGTCACAGAAGATCTTTATTAATGGAGGGTGGTTGGGAATAGGTTAGGGTGGGTCTCCATTCGCAGCAACCTCCTCGTGGTGAGACTTGGGTAATATTATTTAGCGTTTAATTAATAATCGTATCACTCTTAACTGGGTAATGCAATTATTAATTAAAAACTAAGTATTATTAGCAAATTGGCTGCGATCCGCTTTGCATAGGTCATCATTAAACTGCGGATCATGCAAATTCATATTTCTATTAATAAAATTAATGAGATTGGAGCTTTGTAGAGGGTTGTCTCAACCCCTAGATATAATAATTTGTACCTTACTTTAAGTATTTTTTATATTTTTGCATATTAACTGAATTCTGTAGTTTTTTGAAAATTAAAATTTCCCATAAATGCATAAACATCCGCAATCTGGTCATCGGAAATATAGAGCTTCTTTGCTAGGTTAGTTTTGATTCTCATTGATTCATCAAAGATTCTAAAATATTGTCTCAGACGAGGTATACCTGCCTAAAGTTTTGTAACATTTAAGAGTGTTCAAGCCTTGAATTCTGACACTCCAGTATGTTTCCTTGTCAGTAACATGAACTCATTCTTTGGCTTAGTGGCTACTATCAGAGTGAATCATTTGCAAGTTACGTATGTACAATTTCATGTATCAAATGGTATGCATTCACCAATTATAACCTAACTCAATTTTTAGGTCGGTATGACAGTTAATTTGGTCGGTATGAAAGTTCATAATTTGTAAGGTCTACTTGTATACCTTGTCTGTGCTAACACACTGTTCCTAAATTCATTATGACTGTCTAAAAGAATTAAATTACACATTTGATGAATTTCTGCTGTCTTTTCTGCACGTATTTTTGCTAAAATATCTTGTTTAGACAGTAAATTTATCGTGTGCCAGTATATATGTATAATAATTATCCCAACGAATAAGAGACGTAACTAAACATATGCATTTGTTTTTTTTGTTGAAAAAATAGTATATTTAGTTTTGCACGATATCAAACAACATTATTTACATGTTCACGCAGACTCATATGTACAAATATCACGAGTTATACAATGCAACGGCAACAAGAAATATTCCCTTATATAAACATCCTTATAAATATAAATATGTCTATGCATACAGGACATGAATAGTTGTATAAACAGGCTCGCACGATTTTTCTAATTAATTTCCATGCAAAACGCTCGTTTATTATTTCTAACAATAGAGACCATTATTGTCTTTGGCTTCTTAATTAAAACGTTCAAAGGAATTCCCATCGTTCTTGTTCTGCGACGTGCTCGCAATCGTATTTCTTCTTTGATCGATGATCAACATATTCGCTGTTAAAACGGGGACATTATTATTTGTTAAAGTCTTAAAAGGATCGCGCGAACCGCGGCAACTTGTCACACGACTTACAACGAACACATTTCAAAAGGAATAGGAATGATCGTAATACTGGTGAGTCGTTTTGGCAAACTCGAAGTATATGATTATTCAATAAATACGTTTACACCGTTGGTATTTGAATATCACAATGACGAGATCTCTAGAACAGCGACCGAAAATATTTATCTTCCTGAATGTTACAGGAACTATACTCGAATTAATCAACAACTGTACATGGTCTAACGGGGATAAAACACCCGTTCATCTTATTCGACCCAATAAATAATAAAAGAAACCGGTTAAAAAGACGATTCTTTTCAACAGTCACGTTTCCACGGAGTAAATTAAGCTAAACAACAGATGTTTCTCTTCCTTCGAAGGATGAAACAAGCAATCAATTTTGTCAACGTACTTAAAGCTATAGCCCTCTAATGTATCAACTTGTCTAAATCTGCAGAAACGCTGATCATAAAAAGCCTACAATCTTACATAGAAAAGATGAATGAATTGATTCGATAGAGTGATTGATTGCTCCAATTATTCATCGATGAGCTAGTTTACAGTGCCACTGTCACAGTGATGAGTTCTCTTTGGTTCAACCCCTTGCCTTACAATTTAATTTCCAAAAGGGCCACCAAGGTTTGGTCCAGGTAGACTTATCAAGTCTCTGAGACGTAATTGTAAGCTAAGGGGTTAAATTCGCAAGAACGAACGCATCGATCATCATAGATAAACATGTTCCAAAGAGATGTTACGTATAACGTCGCTTCTCGCGTCAGAGTCTTTAGGGGAATTCTTGTTAGCTTTCTCTTTGTCGTCGTGGGACAGATCCAAACAGAAATTGTCATAGGCATAGACGTTTGCCACCATGTTGGGATGCTTCTCCTCGGATATAGAGGAGAATCTCTGAAGGGTGATGTTCCTTGGCTGCGTGGAGATAGTTGGCAGAGTCTGACGAGCCTTGTTCCATGCTGGTTTACTGGAGAATCCGTTCTCTATCTGGTCGAGGCTTCGACCTCTGGTCTCTGGCAGAATGGTCACGGCGAACAAAGCTCCTAAGAGGCTGAATCCACCGAACATCCACATTGTGGTCTCCATACTGACCAGCGAACGTAGATCCGGATAGAGTTTAATGATGGCGAACGTAAATATCTGTACTAAACAGGTGGTGATGCCACCCAGAGGTCCCCTGAACCTCAGTGGGTACAGCTCGGAGGTCATCACCCAGGGTAAAGTGAGGAATCCTATCATCGACGACCCCACGTGACCCCCAATGCATATCAGAGACAATGTCGATGGTAGCTTCAACCTGGAAAGAGGACAGAATCGTGTCAATAAAGCAGTGAATTTGTGTCAAGGAGAGGAAACATTTTAAGATATCCGTCAATTGCATGTGAACCAGGACAGTGGACGATGATTGGTACACTTAAATGTCATGAAAAATAACCAGTGATTAAAATTAAGAACACTGGAGGGAACTTCTGACGCAAGAGTTTCTGGATTTAATCATCTGCTTTGCTAACCAATGAATGAATACAATTGTACCGCATGTCGTGTTCAGTTTGCACTTGTTTGCAGTTTATAGAAGCGGAGAAATAGAGTAAACTGAAAATGGGAATGTTTCTGATGGACGACCGTTTCGAAGCTGGCTAGAGACGTGTAGAATTAACGAGGTCCAATTAATAAACAATGCTGACCTGAAGGCCAGAGCGACGCCCACGGCAGAGATCGCCATTCCTAGGCCACTGGCGAAGGCTAGGACTTTTCTGCCGAAGCTGTTCGCGAGAACCGCGCCGACGATCGAGGCGAACAATCTGATCACACCGATACCGACGCTCGCCGAGTACTCGTTCAAGTCGATGTCCACGTCGATGTCTTCCAGAACGCTCACAGCGTAGAAGAGGATTATGTACATTCCGGACATTTGTTGAAACGCGAAGAAGGCGACAAGAATTAGAAAGGGTTTCCAAACGCTGGGCATGTGGAGAGCTTTCAGTAGACTCTCTTTCTTTTCTTCCCTCTTGAAGTTCGTCTCGCACAAGCCTTGATACTCGTTGTCGGTGCTCAAACCGGGCCCTCGCAACCATAGCAACGACTCCTTCGCCTCCTCGCTTCGTCCTCTGGCCACTAGCCACCCTGGTGTCTCGGGAATCATCCTAATTGAACAGAAACGTTTCAATTAAAATAATAGTTACGGCTTCATTAAAAAGTTATTAAAAAATTAGATTCAAAAATTTAAAATCCTTCTGGAAAAAATAGTTTCGGTTGCGGGGGGTGAATTATAGTCATTTTTGGTGAATAGACATACCCCCGAAATTTTGCGCGAGGAAAAAATTCAAAAAGGTGTGAAATTTTTCGAAAAAATTAAAAAATTTCAAATCGTTCTGGAAAAATTATTTTCGGTTGCGGGGGTGAATTACAATTATTTTTGGTAAATAGACATACCCCCGAAATCTTGCCCATTTACTAGAAAAAAATTCAAGAAGGTGTGAAATTTTCGAAAAAATTAAAAAATATCAAATCGATCTGGAAAAATTGTTTTCGTTCGCGGGGGTGAATTGCAATCATTTTTGGTGAATAGACATACCCCCGAAATCTTGCGCATTTTCCAGAAAAAAATTCAAGAAGTTGTGAAATTTTTCGAAAAAATTAAAAAATTTCAAATCGTTCCGGAAAAATTATTTTCAGTTACAGAGGTAAATTACAGTCACTTTTGGTGAATAGACATACCCGCGAAATCCTACGCAGTTACGAGAAAAAAATTCGAGAAGGTGTGAAATTTTTTGAAAAAATTAAAAAATTTCAAATCGTTCCGGAAAAATTATTTTCGGTTGCAGGGGTGAATTACAATCATTTCTTGTGAATAGACATACCCTCGAAATCCTACCCACTTTCGAGAAAAAAATTCCTTACTGAAAATATACCGTGTGGCCAAAAGGATTTTAATGATTCAAAATTCGAACAATGAAAAACTACATTGGATGTTCAGACGGAATTTTAAACGTTAATAACTTTTTACGAAGCCTCATAATAGGGGTTGCCACTATTTAAACGCGTGGGTGCGAACTCTGAGAAAATGCTACGAATAAGAATAGGAAAAAGACTCGTATGTAACGTAGTAATTACCGTGCCAGCGCCAAGGAAAGAATAGCTGGTCCGATGCTAATCGCCGCGGCTCTTTGCCACGTTGTAAACGCACCCAGCGTGTAGATTATCAGAACACCGAGGGAAACTAAAACGGGTCCGCAGCTTCCAAGGAAGGCCCTCTGATTTGGTGCTGCAGTCTGAAATCGAATTAGTCACATTTCACAATTACAAGTACAACGAGTTTTCTTGCACAATTTAAAGCTGACTAGGTTAATCCGAACGATGTTTAATTGAAACGATGTTTCGCGAACAAAATTACTACTAAATACAAACGAAGACGTACAGAAGATATTTGTTCATAAGTTCACCCGGTAAGATAAACGACTAGTGGGACATAATTTTAGTTTTCAACAACGCAACTTGCCCCATTCGTAAAGCCAAAATTATAACAAAAAAAGTCGAAATGTCCTGACTTATCAAGTTCACCGAGTATACGTTGACAATTCTTAAATTAAAGATAACAAAAAGTGAACTATTAATGATTTCAAAAATTCAATTGAAGAAAAGTGGCTAAATAATTTTGGGGGTCCTGTGGATTAGATGGAAAAGGGATACGGTTTCGTCGGTAAGGTACCCTAACTTGCGAGAGGAACGGTCCCTCTAGCGGCGAGTACGGGTAGCGACCCCACATAATTCTAGGTTTAATTGTGTCTTTCACTGCCACTCGATACGAATAAGTAGTAAAACAATTAATTGGTAGTCCTTTGTTCGGAAGAACGAAGCATGAAATTCCAAGATAAGTCGAGTGGAATACGATTACGTACCTCGCTGACATAAAGATAGAGGCCATTCGCCATGCCCATTCCGATTCCACTGACGAATCTGCCTGCGTATAACATGGGCACATTCTTCGATAAAGCTATTAAGAGCCAACCAGCGGCGTGCGGCAAACTAGCCAGCGCGATGGCAGATCTCCTTCCAAACCATTCGGCGCACAATCCGGCGATCAAAGATCCCAAAGGGTTCGATACCACGCCCAAAGATGCTATCCACGAGATTTGAGATTGATCCGCGAATTCGGTTTGTAGCAGTTGCGGGATCAAAATGGCGCTGAACCCTTGACCAAGCCCCACGGAGATCTGGCCAGAATGCGCGGCCAGTCCTGCAAATATCTGGAAAAACAAACGTTTCTTATAATGGTCTCTATTGTTAGGAATAATAAACGAGCCTTTCGTGTGGAAATTAATTAGAAAAATCGTGCGAGCCTATTTGTACAACTTTGGGAAAAAATTTTAATGAGTGATTCTAGAGGCCAAAATAAGACGAAAATCAAGAATACCAATTTGTTGATCGAGGCCTCGTTAAAGAGTTATTAATGTTTGAAGTTCCGCCTGTAGAACGACAATCGGCGAACAGCTGTGCGCCATAGTGGAACTTTAAACGTTAATAACTTTTTAACGGAGCGTCAATCGACAAATTAGTATTCTTGATTTTCGTCTTATTTTGGCCTCTAGAATCGTCCATCAAAATTTTTCCCAGGAGTAGCTGAACATCCTGTGTTTTTAATTGTTGCTAACGGAATTAACGATCAATCGAACTTTCGAAAATTTGTTCGTTATTTGAAATATAAAATTTGTCCATCTCGAAACTAGAATGTGATTGATATAGATTATGTAGTCTGATAAAGACCCTTACAAAATTACATTAGTCGAAACAGACAATTATTCATAATATTCTTCAAGTGAAGGTTGGAAAATTATTTGTATAAAAGGTGCTATTCATTTAAATAAATAGTAAGAGTAATTTGTTATGAATAAGAAATAAGTAATTCTGTTATATTTCTGACATATTTAAATAGATATTTTTTCGCTGATAAATATTTGTTACAAACAATTTAAATAATTAGCTACATTGTTTGATAGTAAACGCGCGACTCGAGGCTTTCTCTCTCGACCGCGAGTTTTTAGATCGAAACTTAGCTCCGAGCAAACGTGAACCTTCGCGATTGACCTCCGCAGGAACTAGTTCTTTCCTAGCGGATCTCCGCGCGACAATAAGGAGATAATCGCGTTTCCATTCCGTTTCCAAGATTTTCTGGGAAGAACCGTGCAGAATTGCGCGGACGACGTGCAATTAAGATGGCCGCCCTCGCGTTGTCAACACTCGTATATCCAATGCACGCTTGAAATTAGTCCAAAAAACGTTCAGTGTCCACAAAATTTCAATGAGAAAAATACTTTATCGAATTACAGTTTCCTTTACTTTCGTAACTCTTTCGAACTTGCATTTTAGCCACGATTTATTTCCACGACGATAAAACTGTAATTTAGGGGTTAGGTAACTTTGTTTTTTATTTTAAAAATGCGTATAAAGAACGAGGTTATAGTCTGATTAAAATTAATTTTCTCAATACTGTGTTTCGAAAATCGATACCAGAAATATCACTTTATAAATGATTTATTTATCAATTAGTCAATTGAACGTTTAATCTGGCATCAGATATCAAACATTTCGAAAGCTAAGGTTGGATTATTGCTCAGACGATAGTTTAGAAACTACTGTCCATGCATTCAACAGTTTTAAAAAGTTTTTCAAGCTCCTTCAATTTATATTTCTTTCAAATATTGAAATACAGGCTTTCTTAAAAAATCAGAGTAATAGCATTGAAACGTAGATTTATCGATTTCAAGTAATGTTTCTGACATTGCGTCTCCCTATCGCGGAAGACCTAGAAAGTAGACTCACGCTACGAGATGCAAGATTGACTTCCTAATTGGAAGCAGATTTCAAACTATTGTTCGAATAATTATGGTTTGACATGAAGCTGACCATTAGCGTCGGATGAGAATGATCGAAAGACGGTCAATCAGTTCCACGACCTTCTCGCATCAATTCTAAAATAAACGGCGGGCAAGTTTTGCGTCAGTCGTCGCGATACGTTCTTATTCCACGCGCAGTTGCTTTTTAACCAAACAACATAGGCGTGTTACGTGCGACAACGATCCTTCCGTATTAAGAAGAAAAGATGTATTCCGAACGATCCGTGCGTCGATTACGCGAGCGAAATCTATGTAATTCGGCGACGATGTGGCCATAATTATTTCAGCACACGTTCACGGAACTTGTCAGCGATTTCTGACCATGTAACGCACGCCTGGGAAACGGCGAAACCTAACCTCAACGAGAAACCGCGAATCGAACGCGAGATGACAAAACGGTCGACGCAATAATTCAGACGCGATTCCTAGAATAATTTCAACGTTCGCAAATATTTTATTTTACTTTCGAGCACTTTTTCATTTCTTTTTTTAACGATTCCTCAGCAATGTTGTGCCTACCCAATGCAAGAATTGTTTTGTTCGGTTCCACGAGGAAAATAGTGTTTGTCCGCAAGAATCGTTATTCGCCGTGTAAATAGGAAAAGTGAAACCACTGACGAGGTATTAGATTGTATTACGAATGTGTTACAATTTATAATGAAAAACAGAGGATTTGCGGTCTGCTTCTCGACGAGGTACATTCTTATGTATTTTAATAATCTATGCAATAAGAAGCGTACGATAACCATTTGATTCCACTTTTAATCAAGTTTCGTTCAATTTTACATTCGAACATGCCTTAAACTCTTCGAACGATACGAAATTATTAGTCATTTTTGAAAATTTATATAATCAACTATTTAACAGTTTTTTTCAAGTATACCTTAACGATTATGATGTTCTGTATTTACATCTACACGTATAATAATTATGACATAAACTGGTGATGGGTGTAGTTAGAATTCTTTTTTTGTAGTGTAATTACAGCCTCTGATATGGTCAACACGCTTCCGTCCGTAATATTCGTTTAAAAAATGTGCGGTGTCGTAATATTATTTACAGAAGTCACATGTTTCATAGAAATGAACATTACATCAGATTTCAAACGACTTCCCAGTTTGATAAATATCGGAAGTTGCGAAGGTTGAAATCTTTTCTATTTCCACAAATAAGGAAGCTATCTTATTGTTAGTTATTGGACGCTTATTATATTTTTTTTTTTCAATATATCTACGATATCCATTAGTTCTTCACGATAATATAATATTTTTAATTCCATGCACGAACTCCTGTTTCCACGAATTTTTAACGTCAATTACACGAGTGCCTCGGTTTAAAATACATTGTGAAGCAATGGTGTTTGAACACTCGTGAAACACTCGTAAACGCAGGCTAGTTTACATTCGGGACAGAATTTATTTAGAAAAGTCAATGCTTCACAAATTAAACTGAAAAAAGTATCGCGATACGATAAATAGTTTCCGGGATAAAAATACCTATGTACGAGCTAGCTTAACCTAAAAATAGCTAGCCTTATAAGACTATAGTACCAGCTCGTGCAATTTTATTTTTACTGTTTCTGTCGATACATTTAATCCTATTTGTATTCGTAATACAATTTTTCGAGCAATTAGAAGATCTTGTTGTGTAGTAGTACAGCGTTTTAAAAAAAGAATTACACTACGAATTTGACGTGAAATTGCTGGTTTTGACATTTCCATAATGTTACATATTTAATCTTACTCGAACAATGCTTAAAAACATAAAAAATAAAATTATACAAAAAAAAATTCTCCCACTCTACAAGCATGTATACAAGGTGCTCGGCTACACCAGGGAAAAATTTTAATGCGGGATTCTAGAGGTCAAAATAAGACGAAAATCAAGAATACCAATTTGTTGATGGAGGCTTCCTTAAAAAGTTATTAACAATTAAATTCAAAAATTTCAAATCGTTCTGGAAAAATTATTTTCGGTTACGGGGGTCAATTACAATCATTTTTGGTGAATAGACATACCCTCGAAATCTTGCTCATTTTCGAGAAAAAAATTCGAGGTGTGAAATTTTTCGACGGTAAAAAAAAATTTCAAATCGATTTGGAAAAATTATTTTCGGTTGCGAGGGTCAATTACAATCATTTTTGGTGGATAGACATAACCCCGAAATCTTATGCATTTTCGAGAAAAAAATTCAGTATTGGCGGAACTTTAAATGTTAATAACTTTTTAACAAAGCCTCCATCAACAAATTGGTATTCTTGATTTTCGTCTTGATTTGGCCTCTAGAATCCCCCATTAAAATTTTTCCCACGGATAATATCATTTTTTCGGTTCTCATAATTGCTTTGATTCAGAATCGATATACATACATATAAGAGTTTAAAGTAATTATTTTCGGAACCGTTGCAACCACTGCTATTTATAACAATAATTGGAAATTTAAAAAAGAAAAAAAGAGGTATATGTAAATTTGTTTGTTGTTACCATTAAGTAATTAATGTATTTATATAAACTCTATATAAAATTGTACTTTTAGTTAAATAGGATATTAGTGTCTACATTTTCAACATTTTCTCGCCAGGTTTCGATTATCTGGTCTCGATCCAGATGATTGATATGAGGCGTTCCCGTCATATTTATCGAAAACATTCGGTTTCGAAATATAATGTTTGGAATTACTAATAAAAGCATACGTGATCGTTGAAAAAGCCGAGAAAGATGTTCTCGACAGATACGTGTCAAATCACAATAATTAACGGACAGATTGCAATCGTTTAATTGCGTTGCTGTTACGCGTACACTTGTGCAATGGATGCCAGTAACGCTTCTCCGTGTTTTTGCGGGTACATTGTCTGCCTGTTCGACGTTAGACGTCAGCTTTCTGCACGGATGCATGACTTCTTTTTTAAGCAGACATGTATTTCAACCAGTGTTGAACCTAATCCAAACCTAACCCTTTCTATGCAATGTTTCTTCGAATAATATTCCTAAATATTAGTTGACCATTCTTCAATCAGTGTTGAACCTAACCCAAACCTAACCCTTTCTATGCAATGTTTCTTCGAATAATATTCCTAAATATTAGTTGACCATTCTTCAACCAGTGTTGAACCTAACCCAAACCTAACCCTTTCTATGCAATGTTTCTTCGAATAATATTCCTAAATATTAGTTGACCATTCTTCAATCAGTGTTGAACCTAACCCAAACCTAACCCTTTCTATGCAATGTTTTTTTGAGTAATATTCCTAAATATTAATTGGCCATTCTTCAACCAGAGTTGAAAAATCTGACTTGCTCAGATACGCGAAATAGCATCTAGTAATTTTCACGCCATCTGGTGCCTTTTTATGTACACTTTCTTTCCTTTGGCTATACTCTCTCTCCAATAATGTGTTCAGTTGCGTGCTAGCATGTATCAGTAGTAATCTTAGGTTATCCTTTAAATGAACATTCTTTAACCATTATTGTATCCATTATTTAAATCTAACAAGATATAAAGCACCAAACGGGATAAAAACTTACACAGATCGTTCCACAAAACGAAAATAAGCTTACAAAGAACATCAGAATCCTTCGAGACTTTGTAGTTTGAATCTTTCAGTAAATGTTTGATTTTAAGATCAACGAGTTTATCATGTTTGCATTAATTCGTGTAGATGTTGTTTAAAATTTAAGAAATTGCGAAAAGATTTTCTTTGGGGATTTAATAAACTTGGAAAATTATTTACACGAGAAACGGGAATGGAGAATTCTTAAAAAATTTGGAGAAATAATGAAATTGTCTTACGGCTTTATGCTGCCCGGAATAAAGAAGTTTCCACCAGAGTTTCGTTTGGGTGATCATTTTGCCCGATGGACTCAATCCGTTATCTGTAAAAATAGAGTAAACGTGTTTTGATCGAGTGGCACTTGAAAATAGATTGTATTTAGATGTAGTTTGATGAAACACTCGGACGAAAATACGATGTATCTAGGTGCGACGTACATAATTCAAATACATATGTATATCCTACAGTCTAAATAAAGCATTACAAACATTTTTCTCAGAGACCAATGAAGATATTAACTTCGTTTTTGTTTTAATTTTATTTAACTCTTATCAAATTGAATAACATCCAAATGATTTATTTCCTTTTTAATAATGCATAGTTACAGAGTTAAGGCGAAAAATTAAAATCAATACCACAATTTAGACAAATTAATTTTAGGGACAAGTATTCCAAGCTATTTAGATTTTATTTAAAAATAAATTTATAAAATAAAAATTGTTAAAGTAAATATTATTAGGTTTGATAAGAGCTATTGAAATAACAAAAAAAAAGCAAAATGGGGGTTGCATCTCATTAGACTCGTCAAGACGCAAAACTCGTGTTTTTTATACTTGAAATGATAGTACACAAATGAATAATACACTTAATTAATTTTAACACAAAACTTATATTTCTAAATTTACATTTAAACACGTGCAACTCCAGTTAAACGTAACTTCACATAACGGTTCGCTGCAGAACACTCCAGAAGGGGGCGCACACACGGTGGTCCCCCGTATTTTATACATGCCTGATCCCCACCAGGGATACCAACTGCTGAGCTTGCAACTAGTGTTGGAATGCGGTGATTTTTATTCCAACCTGGACGAATCGTAATTTTTGATATTTCTAATTGTTAAAAAGTGCTTGAAAAAATAATAAACATCTTCATGACATAATAATTTAACAAAATACGTATATTTAAAAAAAGTAAGTTTGAAATTTTTTACCGTATACGTATTTTCTTTAAATCGTTACCAATGCTTGTATTTCAGGTATTTTTGGAATCCATTTACTCGCAATACTTTTCCGCAGTTGTGAATTACAGCAGAGATTAGCTCGAGAAATTTTTAAGAAAAAACTGTTGTCGCTAATCGTTCAATTTGTAGAGTACATAAAAGAATCGTTTTTTGCGTAACAGTCGGTTAGAATTACGTTAGACGTACTTAGATCCTACGTGAAAATAGCGTGTTATAAGGAAACAGTATTTAAAGGGATAGTGTTAAGCGAGCTATTTCTGAAAACTTGAAAGCTTATTTCTTTTACTCTGTCCAACCAATTAATTTACCAATTCTCATTGTAATTAATTTATAAAATATTTTTTGGATGACTGAACTTACACTTTTGTCCATTCTTCAAACTGCATTTTTTTTAAAAAGATTAACAAGTCATTTGTTATGTAAATATTGCAAAATTTTGTTTCATACCTTTATCTTTTATGTATTTTTACGTTAACACTACAAAAGGAAAAAACAATAGTTGTAACTATGAAAAATGAAGTCAACAAGTCAATAAAGTATTCAGTTTCGCCTCAACGTGAGATAATTTAATAAACATGCTAGGAAAGAGGTACAGAATGCAATGCTATACTTATTGAAAGTGATTCTCCACGTACAAGTTGTAAACAAGGATCAAATCACCAACATAATATTAAAGGGTTTGATAACGAAATTTTTAAAACTCCTTCAAACAAAAACTGTTCTATTCTTTATCTTGAAATGCTTTGGGGAAGCTTAGAACTACTTCCAAGCATTAGACAAATATTGCAACATTGCATTATGGAAAAGCAGAGATTTTCCCCTACTTTTTCCTATTTATTAACAAACAACTGTCTATACAATAGTGTCGAGACTTATTTGCAGAGTTAACGGAAACGTTTTAAGTTTGAAACGGCGGTCATCAATAACCACCATGGCAATCAACGTGTTAAAGGGCATCATGTGGTTCCACTTGTTAATAATTTCTACATTCCGTATTGTGCACTTATTACAACTATAATAAGTATTTTTCGACAGCTGGTGCGTGGCTGAAATTGAATAATGACCCCGTTTAAATAATCATCCGTTCGTCCCTTACGAGTTAGATAAGTACAAGGAATCGAGACTTGTCCCGTGACTCACACGCGTCACAGATCGACGCACTTCGTCGGTTTCGCGCGTGAGGTGTAATTCCCCCATTAACGAATTTACACGGCCATTAGATTTTGACATTATCGCGATCTATGATTAATTCACGGGTCGATTCATCGCCGTCGCAACGATTTTCGTTTAATGAAATACACTTTCCTATCTTAACAGTCTATCAGACCCGCGTCTCTCATTTCTCATGGTGAAAATGTCTTCCGAAAGGAACGTCGAAGAAGTCGGACAGCGTTCTAAAATATGGTAATAAATATTGAAAAATTGGTTAAAAAAAGTTAACAATCATCTTGTTGTTGTTTTTGTTTTATTATATTTATTCTATCACGTGCAACCTAAACGGTCGAAATAGATGACTGGTATTCATAACCATGAAATACCTCGAACAAACTTCATTTTCGAAACAAAGAATCTTTTGTTCCCTTTGAGCGCCTAATGTTTCAACGCTATCGCAAATATGTTCGTAATGGACGCTACTATCGGAGACTTCGATGGCGTTCGATCACAGCGACGCCAGTTGAACCGTTCCACATTGGGTCAGAAGTTGGCAAAAAGATTAAATGTATCTGAAAATATATTATTATTCTTTCGACGAAGTCTGGAGACTATACATCGAAGCAAAAATTTAACTCGTATTACAACTTTTCTTTCTTGTTTTTCAAATTGCTCTATGCTCGACGTTCTTCATTTATGTATATTTTTCTTCGATTTTTATTACTTTATTCATAGCCTTTTTCCAATTATGTCATTTAATATTACTTATTCTTAGTCTTCTTATTTATTGTAGCATCAATCGGTGAAGATTCTTAACCCCTTCCCGTATTTTCACGAGTCTGACTCGTGACGAAGATTTTGGCCCAAACACGAATGTCACGAGCCAGGCTCGCGGACAGCAAATCACGATCGAGTTTTAGTTCCCATCAGTACGCCACAAGAGTCGGTCACGATTCGTATAATCTCTGTTACAAAACAGTTTAGTATCAGTCTGGTCTGTTTACTGCACATTAACGCCTATAGTTTGGGCCCGGATTACGTCGAGCTAAATGGCACGGGAAGAGGTTAAGAGGTTAGTTTACGACCTCTCTGTGTACACATGTTCCCATTATTGGACACATAAGAATTAAAATTAACAACGTTTTACTAATGTACAATGATATCTAAGTGAAGTATGTAATCTCGTACTCATTTAAGTCTCTAGTTTTATTACTATAAAAATAGTTCAACGATAACTGGCAGAGAATATAAACAGAAAGTTCACGTGGTCCACGCTGCGCACGCAGATGAGTGGCTGTTGAAAGTCGCTGCTCAGAGACGCATTGCAGTGGCCCCTGAGAAGGGCCCTTGTATGACGCATTAAACCCAATCGAGATGATTTTATCGCAGGTTGAATAATACGGTATGGAATAAGGTATTGCAGCAAATAATACAACTTTCAGATTTGGGGATGTAAAAAATTTATTTCACGAATCATTAGAATATTGATTTGTATACTCATCTACCTCTCTATTTTCATTATTATGTAATGATAATAATATTTAATTAGTAATATCATATTTATATTGGGGATGAATACTTTCGTTGAGACATTACGTTCGGCCCTGGTCTGATCACGCGTCGCTTGCGTGCAGCTGTTTATATTTCCCGCCAGTTCTCGTTGTCAGTCTCCCAGGAACCGACGCGACGTCGAGTATTTAGCGTGTTAATATAAGAAAGACAGTGGCGAAATAACCGAGCAATTAACTAAGGTAATCGTTGTTTGCGTACAAAACATTTCAAAACGAGTTTAATTTCGAGAACAGACGAGACCACCTGTTTCTCTAATGGTTCGAGGTTAGCGCAACCGCGACCGTAATAAGTGGCACTTCCTGCAGCTTCGAAACCGCAATTTCGAGCGACAGGTAACGTGCCCGCGTTATCTGAGCAATAGTGTTGCGATCGATCGAACGACAACAGTTAAATGTCAACAGAAACGTCATGATTCGCCGCGGATTGTAAACGCGTGTCGGTTCGGAGTTATGCAGTCTATTCTAGTTCGAGAGACGCAGCTCCGCGATGTTTTTGTTTTCGATGCTGCGTGTTTACAAAACCACGGCTATTTTTACCATTGATGAAATCAGCTCGAGACGTACAGGCCAAAATTTATAACCCTTTCACCGAATGTACACACGCATCTTCGTTTTAAAGTAAACAGGGTGTTTTATTTATGTTTCTAATGCTGCATTTGGTGTAGGTTAACACGTTTCGGGGACTGTAGAAATTTTCATGAGCTGCAGAAAATGAACAGGTCAGTTACGTACAGTGTGCTAAGTAAATGATATTTTTCTGTACACAAAGACAAAATGAAATGAAAATACTCGATGAACCAGTTACCCATAACGTTAAAGGGTTAGGACCCTAAGGGGTTAGGACATTTAGGATTCTGTTTGCCCACTAGGTTAATAATTATAGTTGATACTATTGTAAACTAAGCCACACAAACTTACATAAAATGTTTACTTTCAACTACCCTTGCTTTAAAATATGAATAAATTTGAAACGCATCAAAGTGTCCTAACCCCATAAGTACAGGTTATGTAAACCTCGAAAACTGTGGGTCTAGGACAGAGGTAGACAAACGATTTTTCTGAAGGACCAGAAACCATATACTTTTAAGTAACATACAACCCATAAAATACATATTTATTAATAGGAAAAATGAAATTATTTTGTTTTAATTCGATGGACAAATATGTATCGCCTCGGATAATATTTGTTTGGTAAAATTGCGTTAGTTGTGTTGAAAGTTTTGTAATTGACTTTCATTCAAATGACATTATTTTACAAATTCAATTAATTTTTATTAGTATGTAATAAAGTTTTGTGTTGTATGCACATACATATACAGGGTGTTCGGACAACCCTGGGAAAAATTTTAATGGGAGATTCTAGAGGCCAAAATAAGACGAAAATCAAGAATATCAATTTCTTAACTGAGGCTTCGTTAAAAAGTTATTAACAATTAAATTAAAAAATTCGAAATCGTTTTGAAAAAATTATTTTCGGTTGAAGGTGCCAATTACAATCGTTTTTTATGAATAGATATACCCACGAAATCCTACCCACTTTCGAGAAAAAAATTCGAGAAAGTGTGACATTTTTCGACAAAATTAAAAAATTTCAAATCGTTCTAAAAAAATTATTTTCGGTTGCGGGGGTCAATTACAATCATTTTTGGTGGATAGACATACTCCCGAAATCCTGCGCATTTTCGAGAAAAAAATTCAGTACGATCGAAACTTGAAACGTTAATAACTTTTTAACAAAGCCTCCATCAACAAATTGATATTCTTTATTTTCGTCTTATTTTGCCCTCTAGAATCTCCCATTACAATTTTTCCTAGGGGTGGCCGAACACCCTCTAGACATAATTTTTATATAAATTATTTCAATATTAATACGTAATATAAATTGAAATATTTTCATATAATTCTCTAATTATCCCCTCATTAAAACGATTAATTTTCATTGAGTACAACGATTTTTAATTTTGCTAAAATAAAAATAAGCAAGAAATAGCCATAATTCCAAAGAATATACTGACAATTTTTTTTTATGCAAACAAACGAATTTTTTAATCGAAAAGGACGAAGGTTTGAAATTAGTAGGAATTCCTACCTTTCGACTGCAGCTGTGTTTCTTCAAAGACTCGTCAATATGGTCTTTTAAATTCCAGCAACCCTCGCGCGCGAACAGTCCCCCATTTCGAAGTGTCGAGGCGTTCGAACAAGGGCACGTGGGTTTAAGATCGTCACGATTACTTCATATCACGGTAATCGTAAATCCTTTATACAGTAATCGCGCTCGATCGAGTCTCTTGGCGACAGGATTTTATTAAGGTACGATTTTTATTTATTCACGTTCACGTTCACGTTCATTTTTTTAACACAGGAGATCAGAGGTTTTAGATACGCGTGTAGATAGGCTTTTTGGATCGGTGAAATAGAGTTTTTTGTTTTGTTAGTTAAAGTGATTGAAGTGCCGCGGTAATTTGTACACGTGGTTTTGAATAACTTGCAGCTCGATCGCATTCAGGTCCGTCGCGTGTTTTTTCGCACTCGGTACTGAGATGATTTTCGCCCGCGCGTTCGTATTTATAGTCGCGGGAAGGCGCCTCTCTTCTCAAAACGACGCGCGGTGCTTCGCCAAGCGCCCTTCCAGGGCCGTCTCGAGGTCTCCCCGTCTCCCTGATCACCGCCACTAAAATTCGAGCCTCGGGGTATCTGTCTTTATAAGTGCACACTATCTTGCCTATTATTGTAGAAACTTTTTTGCAGAAATTGAACTTAGGGGTGCGAAAGTAGACGGTTTAATACGTTTTTTAATACTTTAATATTTAGTTTATTATTGATAATTACTTCAATATTTTAGTTAAATGTGACAGTAGTAAACTTTTGATTTCTACTATTCGGTGAAACTGTCCTCTTCAAACCATCCTTATCGCGTTACGTTATACATTTCGAACAATTTTTAAAAGATAGAATTTTAAAAAGTGAAAAATATAAAATTATACTTTACACCGAAATTATTAATTTTAGGAGCTACATTGATTAAGCATTTTTTAATCCTCTTGAGAAGGACTATACGCTCTTAATAAGAATATAAATTACTCTTAATTTATTCTCTTATTAATTCTTATTAATTATTCTTAATTAATAAGAAATTACTTTTGATAAGAATATAAAGAAAATTAAATAATAAGAAATTCAAGATCAAGATTATGAATTTTTGGTCAATGTGTTAATTTAGTGTTCAATGTATTTATTAGTACTTTTTATTTGCATTTTTCACTATTAATTAAAACATATTAATTACCTTCTTTTTTTTAAAATTAGGATTCATTCAAGTTTCTAACATTTTCGAAACATTTGTTATAATTTATTAAAAAGTTATAAATGCAAAATTTTATATAGTTTATATATTTTAAATTGTAATAAATATTTAGTGAATTTTATGATCTTGAACTGAATAGATTTAAATCAATTTCAATTTAATGTTAATACATCGGAATAAACAAGTTTTAATACGTCTCGATGTATGCTGATGAATAAAAATAAGTTTTCCTAACTTTTAATCTAAGATATAATCTTATTAAAGATGATTACACGTTAATAACTTGTTAGCATATATGACGATTTATTAAAATTTATTCAGTGGCCGCGGCCGCTCTAGTTGCTCGTGTGAGTATACTTCGCTTTTTACACAGAAAATTCTGTTACACAATCATTTCTTTGTAGTTAATCAATTATCATGAATTATAATTAACTAATAATATTTATTATGTAATAAATAATAATATAAATAGTTAATAAATATTATTAATATTTATTAATTAAATATTAATAATATTTAACTATTACTTTTGACGACAGAAAAAGGAACACGAGAATTTGCAAAGTTGGACAAAATTTTATTCATGAATAACGAATAAAAATTTGTGGTCGATCTGAATAGTAATTTCCGTTCACGTTTTATTCGTAAATTAAAATCTATTAACAGATTCATTAGACTGAAATTCAGAAGAGCACAACCATAGATAAAAGTTAATTTACACGCGAATGAAAAATTTGTTCATTATACCTCAGTATACCTTCTAAGTTTAAAAGACAAGTAAAAAGGATTCAGACATGATTCATTTCAGTTATTGAAAGTAAAAGTAATCGTCAGAATACAGCAAAAGATGCGATACAACGTCATCGTTAACCTAACACTGATATAACTGTTGGATTAAGGAAAAGAAAATTGACGATTTAAACACGAACTAAATTGTTTATTTGAATTCAAAAAGCATAACGAGATATAATTACACAATGTGGATCCACGCTACTGAAAGACAGTACATCAATGTAGATAACGCAAAACGCTGTATTTATTTGGGAGCATACCCAGCGCCATCTGGGAATCGCGATTGAAATTCCAAAGGTAACCAAGAATTTCTGTTACAGAAATTATCATAATTTTTCTTTTCTTTACTGCTTTAACACATTTTCGTATCTACAGAATTCTAAAAATTTGTTGTCATTTTATTCGACTCACGTATCATCAATATTCTGTCTGGAAAGCGATAATTTCTAATCAAAATTCAAATTTTATCGAACCTTGCCAAAACTTGATAGTTGAGGGGTTTTAAAGTCACCGATTTTGAATTTAAAACTAAAAATTTTTAATTAACACTAAACCTACCACGACTGATCAAATGACAGATTTTTGCAAATGCAATTTGTAATAAATACAGCGACAAGGAATAAAATGTACATTATTTATTTTTTAATCAAAGTAACTATATTTTTGTTCATTATAAAATTGACTATTATCTGAATTCTATGTTATGAAACACACGTTTCTTTAAAGATTCCCCCCCTCCCCTCCTCCAAATACATTTTTACGATGAAAAGTCATCTTTGCAAGGCGAACACTCTCTAAGCAGAAACAATCCTCAGTATCTATTGTATATTTTAATATTTTCCGTGGTATCGGATTTTCCTAGTAATTTGCAATTAAAGTTCACACAGTTGACACAACAATAGGCTTAGTTTCGCGGTTACAGTGGACCCTATCGTTTCAACTCATCTTTCTAAGAACCACGTATTGTTAAAATAACTATCGCAAAATCACTTCAAAGAAGCTTAAAAACGTTGCTGTTAGAAAACATCAATTTTTCTAAAACCTTCTGAGAAACACTTTCTGTTTGTCGCCTTAATAGCCCAATGGCTATCGGTAATGTAGAACCGTCAAGTCGCGATCATTCTGTAATCTTTAGAGACATATTTCATTTATTTAATACATTTGTTTTTAACGACTTTGTTTACCAAATAAAAACATAAACAAAAATCTACATAGGAGGCTGTTTCACAACCTAACCTAAATTGTATCTACCAAAAATAAAATTAAAAATGAAGCAGAACGAGTGTTGGGAGGTTATGTTTGCAAGATATTGAAGGTTATGATTTTCAACGCGAGTTTAAAACTACAGTGTGTCTTGGAAAATGTACATTAAGCTACAGATACAATTTTCTAAGGCGAAAGTGGTGCAGAATTAAAAAAAATTGTTTCGTTAATAGGGGTTAGTTGAACTACATTTTCGGATCGAACTAAGAGACTCTTTGTCGAGGCATAATCTTTCTAAAAGCAAAGTTCAGTTAACCAGGAATATCTAAGAGATAGTGTCATCGTGATACAATAGCGTCTTTTGATACAGATCCTCTTCTCGAAATTTTGAAACGTTTTCACGATCACGGTTGCGTACTATTCTGCGTGTTCGTCGATAAAAGGCACCATTATATTATCCATTCGCTACAAACGGCACGACCTCCACGGTGATTGTAAGTCTCAACGCTCGCGATAAAAAATGACGTTAATAACAACGCGTATGGTACAACTCGGTCGAGTCGATGCTGGAACGGCGATTTTTCTCGAAAAACGATTTTAAATTTCCACTCTGCCGATGGCCTCCTTCCTAAATGAACAAACAACGCCTCTCATCTTGGTTGTCGATCAAGTATTTTCAAGTATTTTATTTTTTATGTTTCTCATGGCATGTTCCATTTTTGTTTATAATGTGTACGAAAAAAAAATAAAAACGAAAATATATTACGGAATAAAATTTTTTTTTATCAAGTTTAAAATTTTAAATAAAAAAAAAAATTAATTTCGTTTGCTCGAGGCTTCGTTTCCGATATAATTGTGTTTGAAGTCGAGCTCGAGTCGTTCTGGCACGTCTGTCCATTATCCACTGTTTCTACTTGTTTTGCCGTAATATATTTTATTTTAACAATTTAAACCATAAGATTAAATATTTTATTTTGAAAAGTGCGTATACGATCTGAAGTAGAATTTTCTATATGTATGTTATTTATTAAATATTTTTTATTTGCTATTTATTAAATGGCGTAGTATTGTAGCCCGTTTTGCGTACCAATTACTGGTACCTTTTCTGTTAGTTGCATGCAGTACGAATGCTGACTGAAAGTTGTAAATCACTGTCAATTCATTGCAACATTGATTTTTCTTTCTCCAATCTATAAATTAGCATAATCAACTATTTAACGAGAAAAGTGTACACAGTTTGATCAGAGCCTCGGTCTATTCAGTCTGTCGTGACCTAGTTTCATACGTAACGATGTTTCCTTCTCTCGTTTATAGTGGGTGAATGGTCCGACTGTGTAACTATTCGTTTCTACTGTTGCATTCAATCTGTAATTGTCTAATACCGTATTTATATTACACTTTCTTCAAGTTTGAAAATTTAATGAATTTAAAAATTTTTTAGCCAAACACAGTATTAGGAATTTGACTTTTTTATTAATTGAATAATTCGTTTATTTTTAACAAAGCAAAAATAATGTTCAAGGTAGAAATTGTTATGCTTTTTTTTTATGGTACAAATTATTTTTTTTATTTTCACAATACTTTCTAGTAGAATCTTATGAAACGAATGCAATTAATTATAGTTAAATGTTGTTCAGAATTATTATACACAGGTACGAAGAAAAGTAATAACGAGTGACCTTATAGATTATCGTATTTGTTTTACAGGACTCTATTAGAAGATTTTCCATAAAGTTTAATATAACGAAAAAATCGAGCAATACAATTTAATAAGACACTTTTCATTTTTTATTCCTTTAAATATTTTTCATTACTTTGTAGGCAGTTTCACGGTTTTAAGTAACAAATGTTATTATAATATTAAAGGATAATAAAATGTAAGATAAATCTACTTGTGAGAATCGAAGAATTGTGATTTTACAAAAAAATTACTTTAAAAATTACTTTTAAAATGTTGATTTTGTTAAAAAATTATTTAGCGAACCTGATACACATGACTTTCAATACTTTTGCCACTTCTTAAACCATCCACTATTTTTCTAAAAATTTGATTTTTTATTTTATTGTTTCGAAATGACGAAATATATAATGCACTTCAAGTATGAATACATTCACTTTATGGGCAAGTATACAGTATTTTCTCTATATAAGCTCGGAACTCGTCCACGATATAGGCAAATATCATATCCCCTCTACTTATCCCCACTGCGTACCGTTAGAA